AAAAGTAAAGATAATCACTGTCATCTGTGCTCTTTTTCTTTTCAGTGATCCTTTACATTTGTCTATACGCACACACGTACATCAAGATTCACAATGTCCTTATTTCTTGCCCGATTATTCCGAACTTGTAACACAGGTAACACATTATACAGCATTTATTTACAAATCCATTCATGCTCAAGTGCTTCATGAGGTGTCATACGCTGATTGGGATCCCAAGTGAGACACCTTTGAACAAAGTCAACAAAGACGACATCTCTCGTCCTGAGTGCTTGGAAGAGTGATTTCGTATTTGGATATCTTTTTTTGCCTTTAGAATTAGGGGCAATACGTGGATGACCAGCAGCATCTATAAATGGATATAAGAAGGAGGGCTGATCATGTTTTTATGCTCTATATGTTACCAAAAAATAAATTCCGTCTTGAACATCCGTCAATCAAGTATCGATCAGGCACACCTAATACCTCCATGATACACGACAACTGTTCCTGTTCATTCTCTCCTGGGAATAAAGGAATACCAGTATACAGTTCAGCAATGATACATCCCAGACTCCACATGTCGATAGCCATATGATAGGACAATCCTAGTATAACCTCTGGTGATCTGTAGAATCGACTCTGAATGTAGGTATACACTATTGTTCTATTAAACATCCTGATCAAATTATCCCCTTTTCTTTCTTTCTTTCTTTACCCTTCTCTGTTTCGAAGCAACTACTGCCAAAGTCAATCACTTTGATCACACCTTTTGCAGGATGTTTCAACAAGATATTCTATTGACATGTCATTCATTTTGTTCTTATATATTTTATATTCATTACCTCAGGTTTTAAATCACAATGAATGACTTTATGATCATACAGCAACTTTAATGCCTTTAGTATCTGAGCAGTCATTCTAATCGGGTTGTTTGTTAATAAATATAAGTGTGTGTATGTCTTTCTTACTTTCTTATTAAACTTAAACTAAATCCTTGAAAATGATTACTCTTGATAAACTCATACAAGTTTATACTTAGACACTCGAACGCGATGCACAAATGTCCTCTGAACGAAAAATGATCAACCACTCGAATAGTACAACATTCATCATTTGGGTCCCACTCAGTCAGCTTCTTCAAGATGTTTAGCTCAGTGACCGCTTGAGCATGAAATCGCTTCTTGTTTCTGATCAGCTTTATAGCCACCATTTGTCCTGTCTTATGATCAAGGCACTTTACGACCTGACCAAATGACCCTTTACCAAGGATATCAATGATTTCATATTGATATGCAAGGTGATCCTGAAGGATAATCTTGTAATTGCCCTTTTCATCGTCGAATTCATTTTCCTCATATTTCCTCTTGGCATGCGATCCTACAAAGTAAACACAGGTATATGTTTGAATCTCTTCTTTTTCGTATCTTGACAGGTATTTTCCGTAATACTTTAGCGCTGTATACACACTTTTGGGGTATCGTGCTCCATTTTCAATTGTAGATTGCTTTTTCGGAAGTGATGACTTTCTCTCGCACGTTGCTGCCTTGGGCAGACTGGTCGTCCGTTTTGATGAAAGGCTAGTTGAGATGCTTTGGTGGAGTTTCAATGGGGGTTGAGCTATGGCAGTAGTAGCAGTAGTTGTGGCTGTTCTTGTTGCTGCTGTTGCTGTTGTTGTAAGGGGTATATTCATTTCTATAGGTTTGAGTTTCATAGGCGGTAATAGTTTGGTAGGTATGGGTGGTGGTGTTGCTAGGCTACCAGGTAAAGTCTAAAATACGTTGTTAATCCTTGGTTTACATTGCACACGTTTATAGATTTACCTTTCCTCGCTTTCGTCTAACGGATACTTTGCTTGTTTCTGTTTTCTGAACCAACAGCTTTTGATTTTCCTCTTGTTGCCTTTGCAGCTGCTCCTTTTGTTTTGCCAGGAACAGTGAATGTCTCTCACGTTGTATTTCTAGCGCCTTTATGTCCTGCTCAATCTCTGCTAGGTCACGACTAAACCTTCCTGCGTACTCTGGTGTCGGTTTCCTAGGCAAGATCAATGGTTTGGATGTCAAAGACGAAGAACGAAGCTGCTTAGGCACAGGCGGAACAGGTGGGATATGTACTGTGGATGACTGTAAGCTGCTGGACCGCGGTGGAGGTGAATAGGTAAAAGAGCGATTAGATGAGGATCGTTTGTGATAGCCCTGGTAGTCTGTTAAACTGTTTTCTATCTTATGGCCCAAAGATACACTTCTTTTAGGCACTGTTTCAGTCTTTTTAGTCAAGGGCACAGATGTGCCTGTCTCCTTTAATGACTTTGCTTTCCGAAGTGCTGTTGTCTTTTTATCTGAATACCCATCGAGCCAATCTTGCTGATCGCTATTCAAGAGGTCAACATAGGAAGCTTTCTTGTTCTTTGGATGTTGGTTCCAGTCAATAGAATAACGAGCACTTGATTTTCGAGGTAAACAAGGAGGAACATCTTGTCCAAGTGTACTTGATGAATGAGACATGGCCTAAAAAAAATGACCTTACAAAATTCATTTAATAAATTAAAAATTATGCTGTCTCAGCCAATCACACCTTTCTTTCCTCTTTTTTTTTTTTGTTTCTTTTGTTATGAATCCACTTGATCTAAGTAAATTTTCAATATCTTCCGATGAAGAAAAGTTGGCACAGGAACTGAAAGGCACACACCTTGTTATCAAAAAGACACTTCCTATGTTTTCAATAGAAGAAAACAAGACAACAAAACAAGAAACACAATACTTACCACAGCCCACTTGTAATGACAAGGACGACGGCTGGGGTGAAGGACCTCCTTCTTATACAGCGATATCACAAGGAACTTATTTTGGCTTCAACTCAGTATTGTATAATTCAACCATTAAAAAAGACAATTCAACCGCAGCACAAGAAGCGTTTAGTCGCTTCAAAGATAAGCCTGTATCATTCACAAGTCATCTGAATAAATAAATATATGTATATCTTTATTATTAGTTGTTCAGTCTCTTCATTTCTTCCTGAATCTTGCGATGTAAAACACACATGTAATCAACATAAGTTTGAACTTCGGCGTTGCGATCTTCAGACATCCAAGTAGAGAATAGGAATTCGACTGCATCCTTTTCTTGGCGAACGATAACAAGCCTCAGATACTTTTCTCTCTGAGATTGTAGCTGTCTGATGATATGATGAATCTTTTGTGATAAATCTGTATTGAATGCAGGTAAAGCAATCTAATAAAAGTGTCAGATATGTTTGTCATTGTTACACCGTTGTATTACCATATTTGGATCTATTTGATCCAATGTTGATATTCCAAACACCTCTTGTAAGAAATTCTGTGATATTTTCTGACCAAGCCAAAAGAATAAACTTGAGCCAGTATCTATTGCATATTAATATGTGCCTTTCATATATCATTTTTGATACAAGGCTTACCAACAAGATAGGCTCCATCTGCCTCTAATCGCTCATACGATGTGCGTATCATGCAAGGTAGTTTGACTTGTCCTTTCGTATCAATCGTTCCGTCTTCTGGGCGCAATTTGTGTAGTGCAAACATTCTGGGATATAATGTCCACACCAACTCTGTAACGCTTAGTGAATTAAATAGGCTCATACCAGCTGCTCTTGTATCAATGTTCATATCAATGCCCACTACATGAAAAAAAAAATGGTTGGCACAACTCCTACTACACTCTCCATTTATTTCTTACCTCCTCTCAGCACAGTCGATCGGATGGCGCCGTGTACATAGACAGGAAGCAGTTTGAAGGCCTCGGGTAGGATCAATTGACCAGGCGATGTAGAAGAAGCACAATTGTTACGATAGGCTGTTAGAATGTCTACACAGGCATCTGTCAATTTAGAGTGAATCTCCTTTCTGTTCTTCTGGAGGAGATTAAAGATAGCTTGCCTCAACACTACGCTCATTGTAGCATCTACATCGCCGTAACGGAAGACGTCCGATATTTGTGAAGTAGCAGTCAAGTGAAGATTGTGTACACGTACACGACGTCTGCCATCCCGTGTGGTATAGAGCAAAGCACACTGGAACGAGGCTCCGCGATTAAGATCTAGTTTACCATCGTGCTTCATCACAGCTACAAGAGCCTTGTCTTCATCTATACCTGCCAGATCCACATCGGTATAAGTACTCATGTGGCATGCACCATAGTGATCCATGACTTGTAATCCGTCAGAACATCGAACACGGAGCACACCATCGAACCCTGTCTCTCGGTGCAGATCGTGGTTCAGCTGGTAAAGCACGCTGTACTTGTCGCCCAATTTAAATCCAGGATAATAGCGCAGATCTCCCCCTGTCAGGTGTGATACCATACGGACGGTAGATAGATCCATATACTGAGATGGGAAGACCCATGTGTTGACACAGACACCATTCTTTACACACTCCTCTCCAAGTTGTTTGTATTTGTCGCTTTGTGGGGTTATCAAGTTCTTTTCCTTTTCTGTGCCGTACAGCGATTTATCATCACGAGGCTTCAACGCGTCAGGACCATAGTTGGGAAGGCATGTTTGGAAAATGTAGAGATGGCCACCTGTTTCTTTCTATAATGAAGCTATGAGCAAATTTAACATACATAGAGAACTCGGCTTACCAATGCTTGGAGGCCTCCTCGAACAGCAGATGTATATACAGATTCTGGTCTTATGGTATCTTTAAACATGTGTGGCAACGTATTCAACAGTTCTATAATAACATTTCTACAAAATAACTGTTAAAGCTCAAGAAACAACAGCTATTATTACTTACTTGGATTCCGCAGGATCGACCAAGAATCCATCTTGAAGAGGTACAAACATGTCTGCAATATCAGAAACAACAAGCATTTGAGCACTTGATAAGGAAGCCTAATGCTTTTGTTAGTCACATCTTTCCTTTCTCTCTTCTCTTTAATAATTACCGATAAATTATAAAACTGAACGTCCTTGTCAAATGTGATTATACCAATTCGATTCTTCATCTTTGCATTTCCATGATCATCATATAATGCTGTCTTTATTCCTTCACACACCGCTTGAAGCATACCACTCTGGATGGCCAAGACGGAAGCATCAATAGCAAAGACATACGTCAACGGAGCGGGTTGTCTGGTAGAGTAGTACTCCTTGGGTACTTCAAATTCAACCGTTCCATATCGTAGCTCGGGTCGCTCGTTCGCATCGATACGTCGACCGGACATATCGATATTGGCAAAATACCAAGACGGCACCTCATTCAGATGTGCACAGACATTACATTCAAATCTAGATCCTCCGTGAGTGAATTGGCACCAGGGGTTGATGTAAGCTCGACAACGGCTGCATCTGATCGGTCCATCCGGTCCATGATCTACAACCTGCACAGGTACTTCCTCTGGTTTATTTTTGGCTAAAGGTTGAATCACTAAACCCAATGGTAGTTTGGACTTGTCAGCGAGTTCTTTGCTGAATGGTATACGATCCATAGTTGAACGCATAAAGCGTGAGCTACAATTTCCTAATGAATGTCATCCATTGAGTCGTTCTTGTAGTGTGCTCTCTACTTTTTTTTTTACCTTGATCTAACGCAATAAACTGAGTTGTCGCGAGTGGCACACGATCTCTTTCTAATGTGCCAAAGAACTTGCCTTCAAATATCTCCTGATCTTGCTCCCTTACTTGAACCGGAGCAGGCATTTGATCAGGATCAATTCTGGGCCGAGGTTGAGTAGGTGGTCGAAGCTCGGGAGGTAAAGGCTGTTCTGAGTGAGTGTAAGGGGCATTGGTATAGCCTACACCAGCAGCAGCAGATGCATGAGGTCGAACGGGTGATGGTGTTCCTTGTAAAGGTGGCTGAAGGCTGTTTGGCCAAGGACCTTTCTGTGGGACAGGTGGAGTAGCTGTCGTGCTGGTAAGTTCAGGATTCACTGCATAGACACGACGTGGCTTGCCATGAATGGTTCCTTGTGGTGGCTACAGTTTAATAATGAGTTTTGAAGGTTCCTCCTTTTTTATAAGTGACAGTTGATTACCTGTGGCTGTAAGTTTAAGTTTTGCATAGGTGATATCAAGTTGGTTTGTGTCATAGGCTGTTGTTGTTGTTGTTGTTGTTGCATGGGAGAAGCCATCGGTTGTTGAGGTGAGCTCATTGGTCTCACCATGGGCTGAGAGATGGACGGTCTTTGCTGTGGATGAGGGACCATAGATGGTCGAGGATTCATCATTGGTGGTCTTTGTCCTGGAGGTACAGGTGCTGTTCCTACAACGGGTGGCATAGGAGGTCGCATTGGTCTTATTGGCTGTTGTGTGGTTGGCCTAATAGGTGCTCCTTTTTTTTATTATTATATATTTCGCGTACATTTTATAAATATAAAAGAATATCTTACCATTAGCCACTTGAACAGGTCGAATGGGTGGATTGGAAGCCATGTTTAAACTGCAAAGAAAAGAAAGAAATCGAAAACTGGCACTTTTATACCTCTTTTTGGAAAAAAAAAAATCCCGCCATTTGAACTCATTTGAGCAAGTAACCCTTATCATTTCATTCCGGTTCGTAAGGAGAAGAAAAAACTTACAATCGTTCATTTTGGAAAAGATTTGTTTGGAAAGTGTTTATCAACAAGATATGCGTATATATACATAATCTATAGCATCCATGACAACAGTAAAGGGATTATCGCCGTCTCTTTCTTAGTCGAGACACTTAACTCGTTCTAATTGGCAGAAATAACCACCGCAAATGAAATGCAAAAAAAAAAAAAAAAGAAAAGAAAAGAAAAATACGTTTATTTAAATGCGAAAAGCTAATAACTATCTGGCGCATGAAGGTCGCAGAGGCCTGGATTCTTTGCGCAATATTTAGGCTGAATCGGTTCACTGTTGATACCCCGAGCCTGTAAGCGATAGTTCCAGTCATGGAAACGTTCGGCAACTTCTTTAACAGTACGTCTGTTGTTATTTTCATCGTAGCTTCCGGACCAGAAAACTTCGGCTGCTGCTGCTGATCGTGGCCAGAGACGTCCTTCCAAGACAGTGTGGCCAGTTTGTTCAGACCACATGGCTGCTTCCCCACCAATGATTTTACCAAGAGAGCTTTCTGAAATACCCAAGGTCATGTCATAAGAATAAATTCGCTGCCAAGTTTTCACAGGAGCACACCAGGATCCTCCAGAGCCTCCATAATTGAACCTGTCATCTTCAGTTTCTGCTTGCAGAGGGCTGATGAACCTTTCATCATTGCCTACCCAGCCTAAAAAATGTGATTCCAATAGGTGAGACTCGTTGTAACAAAAAGAATATTAAATTACCTCCATGTCCACAATCAAGGTAAAAGTAGTCATACGAAGATACAATAACGTCATGGCCAAGGTCAGTATATTTCTTGGCAGGTGTGGTCCATATTTGAACAATCGTTTCTTTCGGATAACTACCGCCGTCCTTTAGAGGATCTTCCCAAATGATAGGCCTCTTCTTGCGATCGTTTATTACGAAATCCAGTAGTCTATTTGTCCAATTGAACCACAAATCCTTAGCCGTCATATTATGCTCATCCATATACTTTTTGACAGTTGCATCATCCTCCCAGCATTTACTATTGATTTCGTCACCTCCAGTATGATAAAGAGTATCGGGAAAGACATCAGTTCCCTCAGTGACAATGTCCTTGACCAACTGAAACGCTTCTTCATTCACGGGATTCAACTGACCGGCGGGGGGTTCTGCAGCATACTCTTCCCAAAATTTATCACGGCATGTCATGTAGTCTGGGTGGGATTCGCCAATGGAGCCCGTATGAGCAGGCATATCTAATTCAATGATCACACGTATACCACGCTCGTTACCATATTGTATAATATTTTGGATATCCTCGGGAGTGTATATTTCTTTATCGGAATAGGCTCCCTTTTCCGAAAGTTCGGGATGAGATTTAAGAAAGATGGGCCATGATTGCGAATCAGAGATATGCCAATGGAATACGTTCATCTTGTTGTAAGACTGTGCATCTAGTGTACGTAGGATGGACTGAACAGGATAAAAATTTCTTGATGTGTCCAGTAAGATACCACGGTGACCAAAAGCAGGATAATCCTTGATTTTTACAGAGTGCGCTACCAGCTGATCATCATCATCACCATCATCAGCAACTACCAACTGGGAAAAGGTCTCTAGCCCACGAAGCGCGCCTACCCAAGTAGGGGCTGTCAGCGTAGCATAACCACCGCCGCTTGGGATATGTAACTCATAGGATTCATCTACACCAATATCCAATTTGATTTGGTTGTCAGAAACCTGAAACAAAATACCCTGCAGTTCATTCAAGCTTTTATTAACAACCAGTCTGTTTGTCATTTTCTGAACTGGTGTCCATCGTTCGCTGATGATCAAATCTTTGTATCTAACTGCAGCCTTCGCAACATTAGGGTTTTGAATCCCTTCAAATCTAAAGGTGTCGGAAAGTGGTACACTAGCGCCAGCCCATTCTACTTGCTGTGGTATTGGGAAGAGAAATGTCTTTGCTTCAGAAACCTGTAAAAGCAATAGTGAAATGGCAATCAGAGATAGGGTCTTCATTAAGGCTATTAAAGAAAGAGAGAGAAATGAATGAAACAAGCCTTTAGAGTATTATAGTCAAACAAAGGAATGTAACTAACCATAGTACAGACATGCATATAGAAGACAATATCCCCCCTTACTGCTCAAAAAGAAGGGATCGCGTCACAAAGGTATGAGAGGGGTCTTCTCCACTGATATAACCCTCTTCCCCTTTCTTTTATGTAGACGTCAAAAGGCGCTTTATTAAGTCAGTATAGTATATACAGTATAACTACTTTAAAATAAAATGCATTGTATGACCTTGAAATCAGCTATGGAGCACCTTGAAGTCAAAAGCATCTCTAAAGGTATATAAAGAGAGATTCTCTGCATGATGATCTGTGAAACGAACTGCGAGAATTATACACTGAGATTTAGCTGATCTATTTCACAGCTTCAAATAATGTCTGGTTTACGTTTCCCTTTACATCAGAATAGTGCTGATCATGGTCTTTGTTTGCTACGCGCGATCTGACAAACGGAGTTCTGATCGAAGCACGTGATTCGTTGAGTTAGAGTATATATTTATTTCTGCAAAGCAAAGGTATTTATATTTTTTTCAACCGACGTTTACAGACTACGCATGTCGTTGAAGAAGGGCAGAATTAGACCACCAAAGAGAGCAGTAAGATAATACATAAATTAAAGACCTTTTCTTAATGATGTCTCTGTAGCCTGGTATTGACCAGACACAGGAATATGAAGAAGGGTTTGAAATCTTGAGCAATGCAATCATGGTCATATTCCAAAAACAAGCAAGAGAACTCTCTTATGAGCTACTTTACCGCACAGCATATAAATTGACCATGCGGCAGTTTGGCGAAAAATTATACCACGATGTTGAAAAGGTGATTGCAGACTACTTGGAAAAGACAGCGCAGGAAACGATTGTGCCTGCCTTTGTTCATACCAAGACAGATACAGCAGACGCTGGCGCTTCATTTCTAAAGACAGTAAAGCGTGTATGGGATGATTACACGACAGCAATTGAATTGATATTACAAGTTTTGACATATTTGGTATAAATGGAAATATTCATGCACGTATATATCTTAATTAAACCTGCGCTATTGTCTCGTAATAGAATGATAGATTGCCAAAATACAATTTACCAGGCGTATATGATATGGGATTGAACCTATTTCGAGATAAAGTCGTACGATCGGAGCAATACCCGATACAGAAACACCTTATATCAGCTATGCTCACCCAAATTCAGTTGGAACGTCAGGGCGATGTCATTGATCGAAGTGCAATACAGTCCGCAGTAACCATGTTGGCCGAACTCAAAGATCCGACAACAAATGGCACAGTGTATTCAGTGGATTTTGAAACTGAGTATTTAGAAAAGAGTGCCTCCTTTTATCAGATTGAAAGTGAAAAGCTAGTATCTTCTTATAATGCACCCGAATTTATGCGAAAAGTATGAAAAAAAAAAAAAAAAATGTTTGACGTCTATACTAAATATGGTATTTAAGGTGGAGAAACGACTTGAAGAAGAATATGAGAGAACGATTCACTGTTTGTCGATAACAACAGAAGCAAAGATTCGAAACATTGTTGAAACAGAACTTATTGCAAACAACATACATGGACTGATGGAGGTAAGGAATAGGGATGTTTATAAGAAATGTGCGTAGTCATTCCTTTTATTACTAGATGCAAAACTCAGGGTTAGAAAGCATGCTGGCTGCAGACAAGTATGAAGATCTCTTACGAATGTACAATTTATTTTCACGCGTTCCAGCTGGCCTGAACGAAATGAGAACGTTTATAAGCAAATATATCCTCACACTGGGCTCACAGATAAATCAGCATATTAACTCCGACTTGAAAATGGAAAAGGGATCAGGTCAGACCGCTATCCGTTGGGTGGAAGAAGTGTTGAGTCTACAGGAAAAGTTTGATAGGATTTTGGATCAGGCAGCGAACAAAGACAAGTCATTTCAAACAGTATTCAATGAAGCATTTGAGAGGTTCATTAATGAAAATCCGAAATCAGCAGAGTTTATTTCCTTGTTTATTGATGAAAACTTGAAGAAAGGATTGAAAGGAGTAAGTATAGTATTGATAGATAAGCACAGTAAAGTAAATATTTTCTTTTTTTTTCAGAAATCTGAAGACGAAGTAGATGATGTATTAGACAACACAATAACGCTGTTTAGATACTTGCAAGACAAAGATGTGTTTGAGCGTTATTATAAGCAACATTTGGCAAAACGATTATTACTAAATAGGAGTATATCTGATGATGCTGAAAGAAGCATGCTTTCCAAGTTAAAGGTAATATACTCTCTTATTTTGTATACATGTTTTCTAAAACGTTCATAGAGAGAATGTGGTTATCAATTTACGAATAAACTAGAAGGTATGTTCAATGATATCCGACTCTCTGCAGACATGAATGGACAATTCAAGGATCACCTTGAGAAAAACGATGAACGGCTTCCTCTGGATGTCTCTGTCACTGTGCTCACATCTACTTTTTGGCCCATGAACCTGTCAACCTCGCCTCGATGTACCATGCCTTCACAGCTACTCACGGCCTGTGAATCATTTGAAAAGTTCTATTTCGGTAGACACAACGGAAGACGGTTGACCTGGCAGCCTCAGATGGGTACAGCGGACGTGCGTGCTCATTTTACAAAGTCTAAACACCTTTTGAACATATCGACCTATGCGATGATGGTCCTACTGCAGTTCAATCAGCATGATAGTTTATCATGGAACGAACTCAAATCACTTACACAGATCGCCGATGCAGACCTAAGACGAACATTACAGTCACTGGCATGTACAAAATACAAAATCCTTATCAAATCATCCAAAGGACGAGACGTCTTGGACGATGATACATTTTCATTCAATGCTGGTTTTACATGCAATCTGACACGTATTAAGATACAGGCCGTAGCATCCAAAGTGGAAAACGATTCAGAACGAAAAAATACACAGGATAAAGTGGACGAAGAGCGTAAGCATCAAATTGAAGCAGCTATTGTTCGCATCATGAAGGACAGAAAGACGATGGAACACAATTTATTGATTGCAGAAGTAACAAAACAATTAAGCTCGCGATTTATGCCGAGTCCCTTGATGATTAAGAAAAGAATTGAAGCTTTAATTGACCGTGAATATCTCGAAAGAAGTACGGAAGATAGACGTGCATACCATTATTTAGCTTAACTAGCCTATTTAAATAAATTGGTTCAAAGAACGAATAATATAGAATAGGGTTCTTTTCATGTTGTTACATCTTATATGGTTCTTATTATTATTAGGACTAATAGACGTGTATTTGTATGTAGGTTGTATTTACATAAAGATGTAATATTTAATCTTTAAAATAATGCTTATAAATACTTTCTTTTTTCCACTAATGTTCCATGCAGCTTTGCTTGTTCCTTTGGTTGCTTTTATGTCTCTTTAATGCATCCAATCTAAAAAAAAAAATTAGAATTGGGGATTTTGCTTTTTTTGTAATCATTACCTTGAGAAGCTCTTTTTACATCCCTGACATTGATATGGCTTGTCACCGCCGTGAATCTTTGAATGTCTCTTGAGGTCATGATTTCGACTAAAAGCAGCGTTGCAAGCTGGGCAAACAAATGGGCGGTCATCTGTGTGTGTTCTTGAATGGCTTTTGAGATTATATAATCGAGCAAATGTCTTTCCACAATTAGGAAATAAGCATGGATAGACTGTTTGTGTTTGATTATTGATTGTAGTCGTGATAGGTGTAGCTGAAGCGTAAATGGACATGGCTGCACTTTGTGTATCGGCCAATGCAGGGTCACTTCGACGTCTCTTTAGATGTCCTCGGGCTAATAAAGTATATGGTCAATCCATGCTTTTTATAGGCTTACTTTTTTTTTATTCTTACCTGGTTGAGGCGTTGTTTGCTGTGATTGTGGTTGATGCGATTGTTGAGAGGCTTGATGGGCAACTGCAGCTACAGCAGCAGCGGCAGCAGCAGCAGCAGCAGCTACGTTATCGTTTCCGGAAGTGAAGGGGTTTGTCATGAAATAGGGATGATTGAGAATGGGTGTATTGGCAACGGGAGAACCACTTGCGTTATTACTGTTTTGTTGCTGTTGTTGTTGTTGCTGTTGCTGCTGCTGCTGTTGTTGTTGTTGTTGTTGCTGCTGCTGTTGTTGTTGTTGTTGGGCTAGGTGCTGTGTGTACAAAGCCAAGGCGGCGTCGGCAAAGTTAAGAGGGGCTGTGGAGGAGGCGGGACTAGATGAATAAGTGGGAAGTGTGGTCGAAGGATGTTCAGAGGGTGATGTGGCGGAAGCTGTGTCTGTAGTCGTAGGAGTATGCGGATGCTGAAGGTTTGTTGTGTCTGAAGTTTGTGTTAAGCTGGTATCTGTTGCTGTTGACTGTGTCGATTGTTGTGGTTCCTGTTGTTGTGGTGGTGTATGATGACTCGCGTTATTGGCTACTGTACCCAATAAAGCCTGAGACAAGAGAGCCTCAATAGCGTTCTGGTCCCCTTGTCTTGCTTTTTCGGATATTTTTAGTGCTACCTCGTTCCAGTCTGTGGTCTCCAAAAATCTCAGAGCCCTTTCATCCTTTTCATCTTTAGCCTGTTCAGATAGAGTTGCTGTTGCGCCCTTGACTTTCTTCTTGAGCCATTCTTGATCAACATATTTTGCAGCCAAAGTATTATCCCATCTCTGCTTCAACTGTTTACCTTTGCGGCCTGGAATGGTACTCGCAATTTCTTTCCAGCGACCGTACCCGTATTTTTTGATGCCCGCCAATAATAGGTCATCCTCTTCCTTTGTCCAGGCTCCTCTTTTATAATCCTGCGTTGCACTATCTTCACTGAGGTCAATTTCTTCTTGGTGAGGCGCTGAATAAATAATGCTCGCGTCAGGTGATTTTCCTTTATCATTCAATTTATCATCCTTTGCTGGAACTGTTGAAGATAGGCCAAGCAACTGAAGAGCGGTCGCAGCAGCAGCTTGGTCCAAGACGTCTTCAGCCTTTACTAGTTCATTATCGCTATTAGTTGTTACAGTTGCTTGTTCTGTTGTAGGTGGCGCAGGTAGTGAAGTGGTAGGTGTGCCTGAAAGTAATGCAGCTGCCAGGTCTGAATTTTCAATTGTTTTATTTTCCTCAATTGTCTTGGGTGGAGAAGGAGCCTCTGCAATGTGTTCGTCTAGAGTAGGCGATGGACGTTTATTGGCTCTTTTATCGTTGTAAGGTGATGAAGTAAATAAATGGACACGAGCCATATTTTAATAATTTGACCGGAGTTCTTGTTGAAAGGAAAAGCAATAAAAGAACCAAGCCTTCGAAAAAAAACTAAGCCTCGTTAAGTTTAGGAAAAAGGAAAAGGGCTAAAAAAAAGAATGCACCCTTCAAGAGAAAATTTTTTAACCTCTTTAACCAATCAGAATTATGCTGTCGTCATCCATGAGGAAATTTACTAAATGCACCCCTTTTCCATATAAAGAAATTTTATTGATCATCCTCTTGATGAGGTACAATGAATGCATGGTTTGAGGTTGGTATAGAAATGGAATGGTAATGTATTCTATGATGCTTGGATAATAATTGAGTTTGAAGCTTTAGTTGAAGTTCTTCCAGCTGCTTCTGTTGCTGTTTGTGTATCATGAGCGCATTCAATGTACTCTGAGGTAATTTCTTTTGAATATGACAAGTCGCTTCTTGATATGACACAGTAGCGGTGCGTTTTTCCAAATGTGATCGTATCTGTAATGACTCTAGCTTTTCACGGAGATGCTTATTTCTCTTTTCCAAATGTTTTATATATTCTACTGCTTTAAAAAGAACGGCACTTTTTGGTTGATTAGAATCTCTTAGAGAGGGAACAAGATCAGTCAATTCCTTAAACCGTGATTTAATTAGATTTCGTCTCTTTTGCTCAGATGCCACATGATTCTCTCTTTTTTCATCTTCCCCAAGTGTACTTCGATTGAATTTCTTCTTGAATGATCTATTATTGATTTCAGGTTCAAGTATTGGCCTTGATTTTGATGTAACAAAGGGAATTATTAATTGATCGCTTTGTTGTAAATAAATAGGTGATGGTGTTGATTCCTGAAAGTTGTTAACTCTTGTATAAAGTGAAAGTAGCTCAGCTTACTATAAAGCATGAATGTCAAATATCTTGTCTTTTATTTGTAGTTTACCCTCTATAGAATCTTGACTAGACGGTTCTTTTGTATTCATGTTGGAAAGAAAGAAGAGATGAAAGGGGCCGGAACATTGGATAAATGATAAATGTTCATAAGTAAGCAGAAATCAATACAATTAATTCTCCGCTATACGATTACCCCGCATTTAATTCGGGTCGTCAGGGATCCAAAAAAAAAAGATAAGACATATTTTTTATTCATATTATTTCTTATGAAGGCTAGCAGCCATAACATGATCAATATTTTGAAGCATAGCAGTTGTGCGACTAAGTAAACTAGTCAAGTTATTGACTTCACGCTTCAGTTCATTACGGTGTGCTTCCAGGACATGGCTATCCACAGGGTGGAACATATTGATAGGTGAACAAGGCAAGATGTCATCATGAGGAGCCATAGGAGGCGAAGGCAAATGAGGACGAGGAAGTTCAGGATTCAATAGACAGGCAATGTTATTCTTTGTAGGTCTCATAGGAGGCGAAGGCAAGTAATAGCGTTGTTGTTGCTGTTGAATCTCGGGCTCAATAGGTTCAGGTGAAGGCGAAGTAGCAGGAGAAGGTAGCAAGGGACGCAAATGTTCTCGTTTATCATCCGATTTAAGGGGTTGATAAACCATAGGCGGCTTGTGAGTAACCAAATTAGCTGCTGTGACTCTCTTGCGACGCTTGATGGTAGAACGTTTCATGGTCATCGGACGATGAACATTATGAAGCTTGAAATAAAGGCCACAAGCATTACAGATGGGTAGGCCAGCTTCATTTCGTCTCCAAAGTGGTGTTGTCGTAGTATGACAATTGGCACAAACGAAATCACCATTGTTACCGGATTCATTATTCAAAGGCTTTGGCATAGCGGAAGAAGAAGCAGGTTGAATGGCAATAGGTTGTTGAAGTTGCTGAGGTTGTTTATACTGAATAGGCTTGTGAGTGGCAGGGGCTAATAAGGGGGGTTGTTGACGAGGAACAAGGTTCTTTTGAAGTTGCTGCTGTTGACGTTGCTTTAATGAATTTCTCTTTAACCAAACAGGTCGACACGTATTACGGGCCTTGTAGTATAGGCCACAGGCATTACAGATAGCCTCACCAAGAGGAGATCGTCTCCACAAAGGAGTTGTGGTCGTACCACAGTTCGAACACGAGGTAACCACCGTACTTCCAATGTCCGATTTCGCAACACTGGAGTTGCTCGGCTCAATAATATGTTGATTATTGCTGGAAGAAGTAGTGACCTTTGCTTGTTCGAAGCCAACAGGCTGTTGGGCTTTGTTTACACACATATAATCAGCTGTCATTGACACTTGAGTCTTGGTGGACGGCTCTGACGGACATTTGTGACATGAATCAACGCTGGTAGCCGTTGATGGTTTGTTATAAAAGGGGGACTTTACAGTCATTTTGCAAATAAAAAGAAAAAGGGCTGAAGTTCTTTTTCTTTGTGTCTATTTACTGCTGTTGATTATTTGTTGTCAATCCAGAAGAAGGTGACTTTGACTTCTTGAAGAATTATACAAAAAGAAATCAAAAAAGGACAAAAGGGTTAAAAAAATCTTTTTTATATACAAAACATCAAGTCTGGTTTGATTGGCTATTGATAGCAAAGTAGACTGAAGATAAATTAATCTGGCCAATTAGATCCGAAATGTGTTATCTCTATACTGAATCTATCCGCGGAAACATTAAATAGCGCAACCATCCCTTAGAATGATAAGCTATCACGTGAGGTTAGCTCCCTATTTTATTTATATGCAATTTCTATCATCTTAATGTTGAATCTTATCTTATATTGACCCTGTCTTCATTTTCCCTTTTATAGTAAATTTCATCTCCCATGGCAACTCCTTGTCTTGAATACGCTATCTTATCAGCAAGCACCTATTTCCAAGGTTACTCTATTTTCTGCAGAGTATTAACACACACATGATTACACTAGTCTACAGCAAAGGTTCGCTTTAGAATTTTACTTTGGCGATAAGGTTAAAGGCTCTTCAGTTGTTACGCGTATATATGAGTCATTTACCGTGACCACAACACTAATTGACGGGTTTATATTCCCTCAGTATACACAGAGTCTTTTTTTTTTTCAATGTATAGTTTGTCTCAAGAGATGACTATAGAATATAATAGAAATTTACATTATTTCTATGCTTTCATACCCTAGCTAGAGCTTTATTCCCTGATATCAAAAGCCCCCTCCCTCAAAGAAAATTATAACCAAAAAGCTGTCAATGTATTTGGTCACGGCTGATTAATTATGCAGATAACATCACATAAACAACATTCATATTGTGATTACACGTTCTTTTTTGAAATGTCGTGCTTCCATATGCTAAATTTATGTACATATTCCTTATGCGGAGTTCTACAGTTGCTTGCTATAGCAAAGAAGGAAGAGATTTTTGGTATAGTAAAAGAATATCATATCTAGTTTTAATAAAAAGAACCATGTAGTTTTTCTTTAATAACGTAGCAAGTCGCACCATAAAGCAAAACAAAAATCGGAAAAAAGATGACTGCATTATTGTTGATTATCGTAAATCGAACTTGAAAAAGATATTCTTATACGTATACTCAATAATCATGACCAGCATTCTCTTGTTAACAAAATATTCCTATCGTTATTTACTACTGCTCATTCTTCATATAAAAAAAGCGAATGTTCTGGACTACCCACAGATGATAGCATATGCACAATGACGAACTTTTGGCTGGGCCATAAATGCATCACTCAGTGTCGTACTTCTACGTTTATATTAAAGAAGATACCACCCTTTGACGTAATATAATCAATATGTACTTCCTACACAACCCAAGATACTGTTACCATACCTACAACACTGATCGATGATATATGTAGTCTGTAGTAGTTGATAGCGCGTCATATGATATAATTCACTGAATGCAATTGGTTGATAGTATTTATTCTTCTATTGAAAGGTCTTTTTTGCCATGAATCATTTTCTTTTCATTTTTCAAACGACTAACGAATGTTTTCACATATAGGCAGTGCTGGTTATATGTATAACTTAGAAGAGAAGGAGAGTGTACATGTTGCAAACCTAGTCAAAAAACTGTCCCTGCCCACAAATAAGAAGCAACCAAGCATATACCAGAAACTATCAATACCCTTTTTAAGTTCAGGGTAAGATAATTGCTATAATTCCTTGAATCACAAAACACAGCCTTTTCTAACTTCAAAAAACCACTTGAAAAAAGTAGCTGCCGAGCTGTCAGCATTGAGCTTGAAAGGAGTTATCAGGATGAAGGAAATTTGCGCATTCTCTTCTCGCCAAAGTCAAAGAAAAAGAAAATTAAAAACGTAATGTGAAGCTGTCAGACTACAAAGTGGTTGTTGTGCTCAAACATATGGAGTTATGTTCAAACTGTTATTGATGTTGAGCTAGATAGCACTAGTAAATGATCAGGAGACACCTTCAGTAACTTCTTTCTCAGATATATCAATATGCAAATTAACTTAAAAAATCCGCCATTTAAAACCATAAGCCCTGTATTTGGTCTAGTACCCTTTCTCTTATCTTCAGTAGTACAATCTAATCATAATCTATTTGAGTCCATAACAACATATAAATAGACTCTTTCAAAATGCTCACAGCCGCCTTAAAATGGACAAGTGAAGAAACAGGTGTCAAAGGGACAGTTTATGACTCAGATAAAAGTCAGAATGTCTAAAGGGGCAACATGAGTCAAAAGCAAGTCACTATCCTTCTATAAATATTTTTTTCAGGTCAGAAAAGAAAAATAATCCTTTTGAATATGAGCCCTATTCAACTTGTTGTTGCTGCTAAAGCATCCCCTTTTAGCTATGGTAAAAAATGAGTGCATATATAAAAAAAAGCAGGTGACTTAATGTCTATGTGTGTAGGCGTACTTGCTGTAGCAAGCTATATCAACTCTGTTAAAGAAGGATCAGTCAATGTCGAATTGCGTGATGTAAAGAACCTTGAAGGTGCTTCAAAGCCTGCTGCCTCTATCAGCTATAACGGGTAAGCAAAAAGAAAGAAAATCCGGTTATTGTACATGTATCTCATTCTCTTTTTCTTGGGGATAAAGTGAAACCTATGACACAACTAACGCTATTATCCGTCTTTTGACTCGTCTTCACCCCGAAGCAGGTTTGTACGATGTAAAAGATGCCCTGACCTGCACCCTGATCGACCAATGGCTCGATGTCGTCGAATCTGAGTTATCCACCACTGATTTCAAGGCCCTGGATGTCAGCTACAAAAAGCTCAACAAGCATTTGACACTTCGCTCCTACATCATTGGTTACAAGGTTACTGCAGCTGATTTCGCTGTGTGGGGCGCTTTACGTGCCTCTCCTGTCTTTGCTCGTATCATCAAGACCAAGAAAGAGACGCTTGGAGCCTATCTTGTTCGCTGGTATGAACACATTTTATCATTTGATGCTGCTGAATATGCCTTAACCGCTGTTCAAAAGCAAGATAAATCTAGCAAGGTAAGCATGTCTATTTACGATAAATAGGATTGATATTTACTCTTTGTGTAGAACAAAGCTGCCGATCAAGGCAAATTCGATATTGGTCTCACTGAGGCCGAAATGGGTAAAGTTTGCACTCGTTTCCCTCCTGAGCCTTCTGGTTACCTTCATATTGGTCACGCTAAGGCCGCCTTACTCAACCAATACTTTGCCGAGACATACAAAGGAAAATTGATCATTCGTTTTGATGATACCAACCCTAGCAAAGAAAAGACAGAATTTGAGGAATCAATCAAGGAGGATTTGGCGCTGATCGGCGTTGACTCATCTGTTGTCACTCACACTTCCGACTATTTTGATCAAATGTACGAAATGGCAGTAAAGATGATCAAGGAAGGAAAGGCTTACTGTGATGACACTGACCAAGCAACCATGCGTGAACAACGTACTGCTCGCATTCCTTCCAAATGCCGTGATAACTCAATTGATGAAAACTTGCGTCGATTCGAAGAGATGAGAAAGGGCTCTGAGGAAGGTCAAAAGAACTGCTTGCGTGCAAAGATTGACTATGCCAGTCCTAATGGTACCATGCGTGATCCTGTGATCTATCGTTGTAACTTGACACCTCACCACTACACCGGTGATAAATGGAAGATCTATCCTACCTATGACTTTGCCTGTCCTGTTGTTGACGCTATCGAAGGTGTCACTCACGCTTTGAGAACGAACGAATACCGTGATCGTAACGTTCAGTATGAATGGATGCTCAACGCCCTTGGCCTCCGTCACGTCAAGATCTGGGACTTTAGCCGAATCAACTTTGTGTACACTCTCTTGTCCAAGAGAAAGCTCGCTTGGTTTGTCGATCAAGGCCTCGTCTCTGGCTGGGATGATCCTCGTTTCCCTACCGTTCGTGGTATCCGCCGTCGTGGTATGACTATTGAAGCCCTGAAGCAGTACATTCTCATGCAAGGCGCCTCTCAAAACACCTTGATGCTTGAGTGGGACAAACTCTGGGCCTTAAACAAGAAGGTCATTGACCCTATTGCCCCACGATATACCTCTGTTCTCAAAGAAGGTGTTGTCGTCTGTCATGTTAAGGACGCACCTGTTGAAGTCAAGGAAGTTCTCGTTCACAAGAAGAATCCCAGCCTGGGCAAGAAGAAGACACACTATGGTCCCAAGATCTACCTGGACCAAGATGATGCCAAGACTTTGGAAGAAGGTGAAGAAATCACTCTTATGGATTGGGGAAATGTCTTTGTTCGCAAGGTAACCAAGAATGACCAAGGTCTGGCCACAGATGTTGAGTTGGAACTTCACCTTGAAGGTGATTTCAAAAAGACCAAGAAAAAGCTCACTTGGTTGGCTGCTGATGAAGACGCTACAGATGCTCTCTTGGTTGATTACGACTACTTGATTACAAAGAAGAAGGTTGAAGAAGGCGATGATGTCAAGGATCTTGTTACACCTCAAAGTGAATTTAAATACCCTGTCTTAGCGGATGGAAATATTAAACAACTAAAGAAGGGTGATATTATCCAATTCGAGCGTAAAGGATATTTCATCTTGGACTCCGTTGCCACTGCTACTGAACCTGCTCACTTTATCCGTATCCCTGATGGCAAAGCTGCTTCCATGGCATCCAAAGCCAACAATTAAAACGAATGATGTAATATAATAAAAAGTACAAAATTTTTGTATAAAAGGAAAATAAGAAAAAGAAAAAAGTTTATATAATATCAAAATATATACATGTGTGTTTAAAAGGCTCGCATGAAGTATACAAAAATACATTATAGACAGAAGCTACGTTTAACCAAGAATCTGTTTCAATTGCTGCTTTTGATCATCCGATAAGGAAGTGGGGAATTTGACTTCATATGTAATTATTAAGTCACCCTTTTTGCCTGTCTTTGAATTTGGCATGCCTTCACCTGCAACGCGAGATTCTTGTCCAGGTTGAACAACTGATTTGGTGTTATTAACGCTCAACGTACGATCGTCCAAAGTCTTGATCTTCTTTTGGAAACCGGTCAAAGCCTCGACTAGAGTCAGTTGTATTGTCATGCGCAAATTGTCTCCTTCTCGTTTAAATACAGGATGAGGCTTTTCTTCCAAGACAAACTCGATATCTTGTGTTGTGCCATTCTCAAGTTCATCTCCTTCGCCTGGGAATCTGATCTTTGTACCTGCTTTCCAGCCCGGCTTGACATTGATCGTCAGGATCTTATCTGTTTGAACGGGTCGACCTGTTGCTCCATCGCGTAATTTACGTGTTACTTTTAATCGCTTTGTGCATCCCTTGTAGAGATCTTCTAATGATACAGGGAAAGGACGCTTGATAGCCGGTGGTTTTTCTGGTTCTTGAGCTTGCTGTTGTTGCTGTCTGAAGCCACTGCGACGGAAACCGCCGCCCATGCCGGGCATACCACCTGTGCCAAATGAAAATCCACCAGGCATACCACCCATACCGCCAAAGCCTTCATCCATGCCTCCACCACCAAAGGAAGCAAAAAAGTGTTTGAATATGTCTTCAGCATCGGACGGGCGGAAACCTCCACCGGGCCCACCGCTCGTCGAGAAGTGGAACGTTCCACCAGGGAAACCGCCAAATCCGCCAGCACCTCCATCAGCGCCCGGTGGTGGTGCACCACCTTTGAGACCTTCTTCACCATATTGATCAAAGATGGCACGCTTATTTTTATCACTTAGTACTTCATAAGCTTCACCAATTTCTTGAAATTTAGCATGTGCAACATCAGCTTTGTCTTTATTTCTATCAGGATGCCATTTTAAGGCTATAAAGTAGTTAATAATACGCTTATTTTAATGGTATATATATACTTGCCTAATTTACGGTATGCTTTCTTTATTGTTTCATCATCTGCATCTCTTGGAACGCCAAGGATTGCATAATAGTCTTTACCCATCTTCTAAAGTAGTTTATATCAAAAAAGGGAGAAAGAGAAATAGAATTACGAAAAAGTGAAGGCATATTATATATATGCAAAATGATAAAGTTCCACAGCATTCGATATGTTTTAAGCCAATGAAATGATGTAAAATCAAATAAATCTCAACTCCGTTAAAAATAGCTTGTCGAAGTTGCTGGAAAAGAGTCTTACACTTTTGTACACAGCAAAATTACTCTTTTATACAAATAATAATAAACACAAGGATGATATCTTAAGATCTGGGCTTTTCCTTCTTTTCCTTGTACAAAGCAAGGAGGGAGACACCAGCGACCTTGACAATCTTGAAACGGACACCAGGAATATCACCAACAGCACGACCCTTACGACCGAAACCGGCAATCAAAACTTCGTCGTTTTCGTCAACATAGTTCAAACAACCGTCATTGGGGACGAAGGCAGTGACCTTCTTACCGTTCTTGATGAGTTGAACACGGACACACTTACGAATGGCAGAGTTAGGTTGCTTGGCTTCGACACCAATCTTTTCGAGAACGATACCCTTGGCGTGAGAAGAACCACCGAAAGGAGATGAGCGGTAGGCGGTTCCAAGGGCTCTCTTTTTGTATTGTTTGTCGGCCCAACGTTGATCACGGCGGTGAATACGAAGCTTACGAGCAGCGTTCAAACCTCTAGGTTGTCCCTTACCTAAGTGTGCATGTATATAATCAGCAAATTGTGTCTTAATTTCCAGAACAGCATGAGTTTGTTCTATACTAAAATTTAAGGGAGGGGAGAGGTGTTTTCATTTGTTGATGTAGAGATGTGAGCATTTCAATGATCTTCACTACGCACATGTATTACTCAGTTTGTAATATCCAATATTTCCCATCCATCTATTATATATCCATACATTTCCACTGTCTAATCCAAAAGCTCCTTTTTCCTCCCTGTCTTTCTAGTATATACAACATGCTTTCTGATAACTATGTAGTCTAGCCCTTACCCATTATAGCGAGATATTTTCAAAAGAAGATTATCAGAGAGGACGGGGTTGGCCTTGTCATCGAACAATAGGGCAGGAGCAAAGGGTGGGCAAAGCAGTGGGAGGATCGATTGAATGTCCGACCCGGAAATTCTGCCATGGCAGCTCGATGTAGAGGTTGATTTTTGATTTTAAAACAAGAACTTATGATAACGAAGTAAATTTATGCTCTTAAAGCTCTAATATTAAAGACTACTTCTTGATGAGCATCAATGGACAATAACGACTGAACACCATTGTATTTCAAAAAATATCTTTTGGTAAAATATGCCCTATGGATATGATCAGCCAGAAGCACATACTTGCAGACCTTGAGAGAACCAAGGGAAAGAATATCGAAATAAGTCCTTGCTTTAATTTTGTAATGCATCTGATTGATCCTTGTGGCAAATGAGTACCACAATTTCTTTTAGCAAATATAGAGATAAGCTATTCTCAAAAGAAAGATATCATGTAATAAAAAAGGACAAGAAAAAAAAAAGAAGACAGCGTAGCATCCTATGCTTCACTAGTGATAAAGAAACAAGTGTATGCTCTTCTATCAGACGTCACAGGTATTATAGAGCTAGGCATGCGAGCTATACACACAATTGAATGCCAAACTTCCATACATACCTTTATTGCTTTCCCAATTCAGTCAACAAAGCAAAAACTAGCGATCAGTGAACAAGAAGTAGTAAAGAACGTGAATGGTATTTTCATAACTGTAGAGATATAATATATCTGCTATAGCAAATATCCCCCAGTTCAAAATGACGACCAGTCAATAAATTTAAAGTCTTTTCTAACTTAAAGCGGAAAATTTGACGCCGGATCAGCAGCTGTTTAATGTTATGTTCTGAGATGTCTATCTAATATTTCTTTATTGTATGTCTATTTATTTTCATTGAATAATTCGTCAAAGATGCTCTTTACATTTTCATATACTTTCTCAACAGGTTGATCACAGTGAACCTATATGCATACATAATTAGTATATAGAATTACACTCTATAGAGTCTACCAGTACCTTTTTAACCTTGTCCTGTTTGGCATATTCATCAATGACTGGCATACTAGTTTCAATAAAAGTAACAAAGCGCTTCCTGATAGATTCAATGTTATCATCTACACGTCCAGAACTTTCTCCTCTCTTTAATAATCTCTTCAACATAACTTCCTCAGGGCACTCAAAGTAAAGCACCAGCTTGGAAGGCACGACAACTTCTTCAAACTTGATTGCCTGATCCATTTTACGAGGGAAGCCATCAATCAAGAATCGGGTTCCTTGACCATTGGCTATAGCTTCCTTCATTGCTTGTTCCAAAAGGGCAATAGTTACTTCCATAGGAACAATTAAGCCTTCTTTGATATAGTTATTGATCATCTCTCCATATTTAGATCCTTCACGCTTTTGTTCAGCACGTAATAAATCACCAGCTATAGTTGACGTCGTTACACTATGTTACAATTGTTACAATTATTATAATTACCTGACAGATGAACAAAGCCATAATCTTTCTTCAAATTGTCGCATTGGGTTCCTTTGCCTGCACCAGGTCCACCTTTCGAGAGCATGAGTTATGGGTATACATTTGTATGCATAAAGCAATAGTTACTTACCCAACACAAAGACAACAGTGACCTCATCAGGTTTAAATGCGGGTATAGGCTTTGTCTCCAAGTCTCTCTTGGCCAGCTTGTCTTGCAGTTTTTGTTCTTTCAAAGCTTCTTCTTGTTCAACTGCAGCTACATTCTTTTTTCTTGGTAATGCTATTCGTTCAGACATGGGGATTTAATACATGACAGTCTATAGTATATAATACCTACATTGACCCTCTCTTGATTTAACAAGAGTATAATAAGCCGCAAAGCCCATGGAAGCAACAGCAAGCATGGCAGGAACACTTGGAGCATTTCCAGCTTTATTGCTACTTCCAGCTGTAGAGTACAAGCGCTGCTTGATATTTGAAGAAGTGACTAAACGGCTGTTTCTAAGAAATGCAGTACGGAACATTTGAACAATAAAAACCCCTTAAAAAATACCTTCTCCAACTTTTTTTTTTTTATTTGTCTGAGATTAAATATGAAAAGCAGTAATGGTGTTTTCAAGACAGATCGTCAAGTCTGACGTGCTTAATGTGGTAAACCATCAGATTACAGCATATATCTTACTCTCTATCTGTTTATTATGTATCATATTAGAATATTAACAGCATTGGATATGAATGGCAGCCATGAATTCTCTCTCTTATAAAGCTCTCATTCAAGTCGTAGTTCTATGATATTCATTTCTATTCTTGCGATCGACTTAACTGTCTTTTGTAAATGTAAAGTTGAACACAACACTATTTATTAATACAGTCACATCTAACTACCAGCACAAAATGGTCAAACAAGAAAAGAAAATATTCATCCACAAGATCAATATCTGTGTGAAATATGTGAAGCACGCTTCTATGCCAGTGACAAAAAAAAAATCAGACTTATTAGTACGGCTGAAAATAACGACAATGGATATATTTCTACTTACTATTTTCATTCACAACTAGCTCTTGTATTTTTATACGCAGTTGTTTTTAGAATATATTTAAAGGATGACAGTGATTTTGTTTGTGATTTTTATGGTGATAAAATTCGCAAATTCAAACTACTTAAGAAACGCCCTAACCAAAAACACCGCTTTACACAGATCAGCTTATTAGATAACAACAGTCAAAAGTTAAAGTTAGACCTCACTCTGGAAAAAGACTGCGAGGTTGCCTTTTATGATTGTGATTTGGAGCTCCAGGGAATATAAGCTACTTCTTTCATAACAGGACTTGGATTAGAACATGTGGATATGGGGTTAACTAATGGGAAAAAGCTCCACTACGTAGTCAGCTGAGATGCTCAAGAACTTCTCTGATATCAGTTAAGATAAATACTCTGTTGTATACCGCTCCTCAACCATTAAAATAGCCAATAATTCGACTGAATTCTCGGATATAAATTTGAACAGTTAGCTCCAGCAGAGAAAGCATCCAGATTTGCTTTCAGCATGGGACCATTTGCTATTTACAGCGCGAACTCGGATAAGCAAGCCAGACGCAGTCTCAGTATCGTTTCAGAGTTAAAAATTCAAAGCCTTATAAAGAACACAAGCACGACTAAAAACATTAATAATTATCGACAGTTGATGTCCGCATTTTTCCGTCTTTCATATTTTATTTGGTCAAGTAAATTTCAATATCTGTCACTACAGTGTTTAATCAAAAAAAGCAAATTTATAAATCACTCTGCTTTAGTTTGATGCACACAATCTTGAATGAATCTCTTTTCTTATTTACATCATGTCTCTATCGTGCTTATTAACCTGAATTTACTTTTAAATAGAGTAAATAGATCGATTTGATTATGTTTTGCAATAATGAATATTTATTCACAATTTTGAATAGTGATAGGCATTAAACACGTCTTAAGGGTAATCTTGTCTCTCTCTCTCTCTCTTCTTTTTTTCTCATTATTCTTTACCAGTTTGCTACTATGTTATCTCCATATAAGGCTTATTTCTATCCTTTTCCTGCATTCATGTATTTGTGTATTCATGTATTCATATTATTTTTTCATAGTTATAAAAACTCCTTTCTCGTCATTCAATCAATTGCATATTTGATAATACCTCTCATTCATGATACACGAGCATCCATGACAATAGGGGGCTATATAAAGTATGCCGCGTACCTTAGCAACCCATCTTGTTTCGAGCGCCATTTGAAATAGTTTATGCAGACTTAGAAGATCCATTGCTTTACTATAAAAATGAACGGATAGTCATTAGATCTACCTCAATCACAATCGTCGTCAATGCTAGTCTACATTTCACAAGCAGAAGGGAAAAAGATAAGGATATAACAGCAGGGGAATAGAGGATAAGCATTTTATCTTTTACCCTTTTTTTCATGTGTACTATAAAAAAAAAAATAAAAGCATTACACACTCTTATGCTTTCCTAAGCCAGTTATATTCATGTTTGATAAACAAGTTTAATACATGTTGATTGCAAAGGTCACGATCTGGTTTGCATTTGATTCTTTTTAGCAAATGCCAGAAAAAGGGAATTATATGATGCACAAATCTGCCATCAAAAATAATAATGGCATCCTTTAACATTTTTTATGAAATCTCCCTATTTCTTTAAATAGTGAGCCATTGATCTATATATGATTATTACAGAACAACCTCTTTTACTTCCTCTCTCTCTCTCTCTCTCTCTCTCTCTCTCTCTCTCTCTCTCTCTTTCTCTCTTTTTATTTCTTAGACGTACTACTTATCAGCATACACCAAAAAGGTATATGATAAACAAACAAAGGGTAACGACTAGATCCTTTGGATAAGTACTACGCATGTTCCACAACATCGTCAGCCTAATGCTCTTTGAGAAAAGCCCTTTGTTTATCACCAGCTGCGTTGTTAAAGATGCTGCCCTCTTCCAACCTTTTCCCTTGTACATTTGATGCTCGCTTTACTTTTTTACTCATTCTTAAAGAAATCAACTAGAAAAATAGTAAAACCGCGTATTGGAAATAAGAAAAATGAAGCAATCATAATAAAAAAAAAATTAAGTATGTGTGTGAGGTTAGTCTTATGTAAACAAGCGGCCATATAAAAGAAAAGGAGGTGTGAAAAAATCATGCAAAAAAAGGGTAGGAGGCGTTCGGATGTGCTCTAATATGGATAAGATAGAAAATGAGTTATTTATTTGTTCATGCATTGCTAGAAAAAGATAAATTGAGAAAAAGGAGAAATGAGTCATTTATTTTCAGCCTAAATAATATGATTCACGTAAACAAAAAGCTATAAAAGAGGCCATCATTCTTGTCCTTTTTTTTTTTTTTCTTCATTCTTTATCTCTTCTAAATATTCCCCTATGGTTCTATTATTTCCTATGTTGAAAAAGGTACAATATCATTTTGGGGGTGATCTCAAAGGACATATAAATAATGCCATCGTTTAGAAAATTCACTTTTGCTGGCTCTATTTCATGGTTCCTGATGTATTTTACTCTATCATAATGGCCTCTCACGGCGTGAAGCCTTAAAGAAATCTCTGCTACTCGCTAATGCTCAAAATGCCTACTCATGCTCAAAAAATGCTTGCTACTGCTCATCAATACACTCAAATAACTAAATAATCAAACAAATACTCAAACACTCAAACACTCAAACACTCAAACACTCAAACACTCAAATACTCAAATACTCAAATACTCAAACACTCAAACACTCAAACACTCAAACAAATGCCCAAATATCTAAAAACGCTTATCAAACGCTTATCAAATCTCTAGAAAGACCAGTGAGCGCCTGCTCATGCTTATTAATACCTACAAATGATCATCAGTGCCTGAAAATGCTAGTGAATGCCTGTCCCATGCTTATCAACGTCGGAAAGCCCCTAAAGAATCTTGCTCATGTCTATCAATGTCTGCTGCTAATGAATACTGCTTTGGAGTAACTACATATTTAAGTCCTGAAGCCATAAGAAACATAATCAATTTACTTTGCCACTATTTGCCAAGCTCTATCAAGCTCTACTACAAGAAAGGAAAAAGTATAAAAAAACAAAACAAAACAAAAGTTAACCAGGTAGGTCGCTGCTTCTCTATGCTGGATCACCCCGAGATGCTCCTATTGTTATGGCTCTGCCTCTACAGCTGATGAATGGCCCGTAAATTCTCCCTACTACTGAGCTCGATACTTTCAATGTTCCAACATTCCAATGTCCCAATGTTTCAATGTTTCAAGGTTTCAAGGTTTCAATGTCCTTGCTGCGCGCACTGTCCGTAGTGTTTTCGAAAAGCTTCGTCCTAGGTACTTTGGTGCACTCTTCGTACGTTGAAGCTCCCCTTTCCTGAGTTTCCCGTGGTTGTTTTTTGAGTCTTGAGTCTTGAGCCTTGGGTCTTGTGTCTTGAGACTTGAGACTTGAGTACTTTTTATTCATGGAGGGTTTACACCGTGTAGTCTTCTGGCATGCAGTCTATGGTTCTAGTCATCTTGGGTTTGAAAGCTGGTGATAATGTGGCCTTCTGGACTTATGGAAAGAAAGGAAAAAAAAAAAAGAAATCCCTACTTGCTCTCTAAACTTGGCTATCAAAAGAAAAACCTCTACTTATTCAAAAACTCTCTCTCTCTCCTTGCTTCTAAAATGACTTGGAAATCAAACTATTGCTCACTTTAATAAAAACTTCATTTTGTTACTCCCACACTTGACTTTTTCTTCTTTAATCCTTAACAAAATGACTACTTTCGTATTCACTTGGCGTGCTTTTAAATGTATATGTTTGACTCAAGAAGAAAGAAAAGGAATTTTTTTTCAGTGCAGTTACTTGACATTCTTATTTTATCTCTGACCTGCGTGAATTTAGGTCAGCAATTCTTTAGTTCTGTATGCTCTAATTTTTAAGTGGGTTAATGGTTTGCCCAAAGAGGATAGGCATAAAGTTGGAGGGAGTGGGTGGCGGGCATCATTAACTATATGTCAAAAAATTCAAATGGACGGCCGTCCGATAAGCTTTGATGTTGATCGCAGTATTAGAAACAAAGAATGTCCAAGTTTTCTCATCCAGCCTTTCACCAAGGATATGGTGTAGACAGGTGCCTTGCAATTGCTCAAGCTGTTTGTTCTCAGGGTTTGCAAGCAAAGTAATAGCTAAACAATACTCCATCCTTGGTTGGATAAATGGTTGGCAGATGCGACAGGGAAATAGCTGTGAAAACCCAGAGAATTGGCTCTTACGACTGAAGAGATATTCATGGTAGATTTAGTTGTCTTAGCTCCATGTTTGATCGGTGAGTATAATCGTCTGTTTCGAAAGTAATGCCTAGTATAGGGAAGTGTATCATTGGCATGAATCAGTGTATTGTAGAGGTGAAAGGATTCAGTAAGGAAGGAGTCTTGTACGATGCATGTATAGGAAGTTCCAAAGGTAACCATAGAGGACCACTATTGATATTCACAGTATTAAAGGAGATTTTGAGAGCGGTATTGCTAATTTAAAGAAGTTAGTTCATGATATGACTCCAGAGGAGCTCAGGCTCAATGTTAAAACTAGATGGAAACACGTAAAGAGCTATGTCTGTGGTCGTACGCCAAGTTATCGAGTCTAACAAGCATTTACCTTTTTTGTGCCGTTTGTTCCCATTGTAGTAAAGAAAGAAATAAGTTCTGAGCATAATAGTATTGAAAGCTCGCAGCAAGTCAAGAAGTATGTTAACTTGCCACATTAAAGTTGGATTTAATGCAAAGAGGAGTTTGAGTGAGGAACACGAAAATGTATCCATATTTTTTAATTTTTTTTTGACAGCAAATTTTCGTGTTTTATTTTACTAAATGAATTCGTGGTTAAATAGTAGTGAGAATGTTGTCGACGAGATAAAATCTACGCCTTCAACTTCAAAAATAACAAGTTTATCAAAACCAAAGAAAACGATTGAAATGAAAGACGAGGTATTATTATTATTTATTCTTTCTTTTCTTCATGCTGACTTTTTAAAAAAGAATGGCAAAGGCAAAGGCAAAGAAGTCATTTCACAATTAAATAGCTATGAAGAGTCTGCTTCAGATGATAGTATGGATCTAGATACAGATCCATTAGTTTGGGAACAAGCAGCAAAGATTATGGAAACAGTAGAAAAAGATCATTTAGAAAAAGAGTTAAAGTCACTTAGTATGGAAGATAAACCAAGTCTAAAAAGAAAACAACCACATGTGGACGGAGAGGATCTATTCACAAGAGAAGCAGTAAAAAACTGGCAGCCACCACGGTTAAGGGCATGGCATGCACGTCATACGGTACATTGAAATGTAGATTATATTATACAAATACTAACCTACGTATAGAGCCCTGAAACCTATTACTTTAGACTGGTCGTTCCTGGTCAACTGCAACACAATGGATCATGGAGCAAGGAAGAAAAGAAGCGATTCATGGAAAGATATCAAGAATGGATAGATAAGGGGATTAGAATAGGTACCATGTGGGGTATATTCAGTAAGGCTTTCCCTCATAGAGTAAGTGTATATATACTATATTTCAAATGAAGAGTTGTTTATTATCTTTAGGTTGGTTATCAATGTATGTCATACTATCGCTCCCTTGTTAAAAAAGGAATACTAAAAGATGAAAACTATACGATTGTGGATGGAAAGCTAAAGGGTTCCAGTAACCGTTTTGGAGCACCTTCTATTTCAAATTACAGTCTTGATCCTGAATGGGAAACAGAAGAAGTCAAACAGATTGAAAGACAAGTGGACGAATGGATTAAGGAGTTTCATGGAGGATCAGTTATCAAGCAACCTACAGCTGTTCGACGGAAACCCGCTACAGCAGCTTCGACTACTGCTGCTAGGCCCAGAAATCAAAAATCAAGAATATCAGATATGATCACAAAAATGCCTCAGAAGCAGTTAAGGGGCGAGAATGATGATGATGATGATGATGGCTTTGTGGATAATGGTGATGCAGAGGTGGCTCACCTACAAGAACGGGATTGGGATAAAGAGTGGAAAGAGCGACTGGAAGCATACAAGAATTTCTTAACGTAAGCTCCTCAACAGAATGTAACCTAAAGAATCGCAATAGAACTAACTTTTTATGCAGTCCATATCTCGATAAAGAAAAAAGACATCAGTACTGGCAGGCCAAGCAAGAATGGCGTCGAGGGCTTCTGACAACAGAAATGTAAACACGCATGTTGTATGTATACAGCCATCCTTATCTTCTCTTCATATAGGCTTATGCAAAAAAGCATGATACAAAAAACTCCTAGTACGCTTCCATCAACAGAGACAGCTAACGGAGCAAAGGTAGTACAGTCAACACTATCAAGGTTCTTCACTGGTGTCAAGAAGCGAAAGGTTGATACACCTGACGAACTCATTTCATTTGTACGTATTCCTAATGAATTGTTCAGTGGTGTCAAGCAAATACAACCATTATCCAAACGAATCGTACGGGATGCAACAAAAAGTCATTATTTCGAGCTAGACAGCATGCATGAATGTTCACCTATATTAGACTTGATACTGGAGCCAAACTTAGAAATATCAAATATGTCAAGACTAGAGGGTATCTTGGTTGATCCACCATGGGAATTTTACGTTGCAGATGGACGAAACGATGGTTTGTGTTCATGGAATATTACTGATTTCCAAAAACTAATGGAGAAGGTGATCACGCATATGTCTGCGGGACTTGTCTTTGTTTGGACACACAAATTGATTCAGGCTGATGTAGTTAGAATGATGTATACTATAGGTAAGGAGAGGCAGAGCTCAGGTTCTGTAAATAGATATTAACTTCAATATAGATTGTAAATATGTTGAGAATCTGGTTTGGTTCAAAAAATCTGTCAATAATGTACATTTGGATAATCCAAGCCCATACATTAGTTCAACAAAAGAGATTCTGTTGATTTTTAAAAAGGGCGATGGATTCGAATTGAGACATCAACGATCACCTGATGTCATCATTGACTTTGAGATACCTACCGAACAATGGATTGACGATGAATATACTGAACCAAAGCCTTCAGGCGTGTATGATATGATTGAAATCCTGCTTCCGAAAGCAGGATTTGATGACAAGTTGAAGAGGGGAAGGCTTTTAGAACTCTGGGCCAAGAGGAATTCTCCTCGAAGAGAAGGCTGGATCATGTTTCATGAGAATAAAAAGCATAGAAATATTGAATAAAAAAAATATAAAAAAAACAGGTTTTATTAATAGTCATAATCTTCAGACAAACAGTCGTCTTCCATATAAAAGCTAGGCATAATGCGAGTTGCCTTCTCAAGGTACCATTCACCATTGCTCAATTTACAAAGCGTCACACGAGCGACCATTCCTAAAACTAGGTTGTCGATGATCTTCTTCTCAAATATAATGTCATAGCTCTCTTTATTGTCGTCATAGTTCGTGAAAGTAACTTTAAAAAAAGCGTCTGGTTGAGCATCAGCTGGAATAGGCGGTATAGATGTCACTTTGGCAAGCACAAAACTCAACGTTTTCAGTACATGCACGCCTTTGATATCACCCATCTGTGAGCGGACGATGTTGGTTGCTTCCTCCGTAGTCATACCAACGGCTTCGTCCAAAAATTCACTAAACATCTTCATCGTCTTTGCTGATGCATCCTTCATCCAGGACATGTCCATCGAAATCGATTCGTCGCCAAAGACGATAGCACATGCGCGGTTAAGCTTGCCAGGCATATCCACGCTCAGTTTCTTACACTTGGGTAGCTCTACCTTAGCCTGACTGACGATCGCACGGGCCTTAGCGATATCATCAGCATATTCAGGGGCAACGTTTCTGATTTGAAGGTATCTCAGGAAAGCATCGATGATGTTGGGAGTATCAATAAAGTTTTGCATTGCGATAAATCGATTTTCGCGAATAAATGTGTTTCCTAAATAAACTTGAGCAACTTCACTAAAACTGACTTCAACGCCTTCCTCCAGCTCATCAGGTACAGTGTCAATTGCTAATTTGGCTGCTTTGAAATCCATTTCGCCATCTTCATCTACGTCAGCAGCAGTAGTTCCACCCAAGAACATGTTTTGACCAGTAATGATCCCACCGAACTTCAGATAGTTTGCAAAGATTTCATTCTTCTCTTCAGTAAACTTGTGGTTTCTACGATATTTCCAAATGGCATATTCTACTCTTTGTGATAAAGGAAGTGTACTAGTAAAATAATGAATACGAAGTCTCTTTGTTTTTGTTTGTTTTCGTTACGGGTCAAATGGGTTATCAATGAGATCTTCTTGGTATTTTTCAACATAGTCGTCAGGTAGTTCGCTACCTGCTTCTGGTAATTTGGATTTGCTCTTTTTCTTCTTCTTCTTTTTCTTTTGTTGTTCAGCTGCTTGTCTATTCTGCTGTGTAAGACTGACAGGGGTTGACAAGTCCTTGGGCATTTCAGATGTCTCTTCAGGTGATTCTTCATTTTCAATTACAGTTTCTTCTTCCTCTTCAACTTCGTCTAGTTCCTCCAATACTTGATCCCTATACAACAGAAATAAGTCAAGAGAATATATAGATAACAATATAATCTTCTCTCTTTACACGAAATCTCGTCTTTGTTCTTCTGTGAGATTGTCCATATTTTGAATAAATAAATAAAAATAGACGCGTATTGTTTTTAGGGACTTGAATACAGCCTGATCCAGCCACGAATGGACGCATTTTAAAATTGAACTGTTAAATTAATGGTTTACTTATAGGACTCAATGCAGTAATGCTCAACCAATGCATGCTTGTTTAATTGATAAAATACAATGTGTGGTAAAAGATAAAATAGACAAAAAGACTGTGAGAAAAAGATGTATACGTGATAAACTATTCAACATTGAGCATATGTATCATCTTGATACAACGGCACATATGAATCATTGAAAAGCGTTGATTATATCAGCTTACGGTTAATTTGACCCCCTTTTTTTTGGAGAAATAAAATTTCATTAAAGCGTACTGAGGAACGAATTGTGCACTAAAACTAATCTAGCTCCAGACGTTCACTAAGTTGGAACAATCATGTTGAACTTCTTAATGCTCATCACCAGATTGTGTAACAATTTCATGTTCTTTTGTGAACGGCTTAGCTTCAACTTCAAAGGGAACAGCTGGTGATATAGATTTGCATTGTTTTTTGAAGGCCTATCTCTTTTACAATTAGCAGCTACGTGGCCTCCCACGCCACGGCTCCAACAAGTGCGCCTATCATTATCAAAACGAATACCAAATCGTAAGACTTCACTAAAGAGCGATCTTTCTGGATCCCTCGGGTTAGACATTACTCTTTAACAACTGCCATGAGTTAAATTGGATGATTCATGGCGGTTGGCCATGTCAAGTAGCACACTTCCTGGGATCAGCCTGTTTGCCAAACACGAGAGTAGAGCACTGTAGGGTCGGCGTCGCTAACTTGATGATGATAATGCTTGAAACATGATTAACGCTCGATGGTTGGAGACTGCTTGTGGCCAGCTTCGAGAATTATTAATTTGGGCGCATGATTTGCTGTGTCATCCTCAAGGGTTTGATTTTTATCGGGAAGAGACATGTTACTTTGATCTTGAACACCACACTGCTTTTTCGTGAGAAGTGAGGTCGGAGTTAGTTTCAATTTCGAAGGACTGCCTGTGACCGTCTTTCAAAGAGAGAGACAGAGAAAGAGGAGAAAGAGAAAGAAAGAGATAGAGCGTTTTATTTAACAGAAAAAGAAAAGAGTAATTAGGATAAAAAGGGAGGCAGGCATAGTACAGTATATAAACTATTTTTAATAGATTCCTTTTTTATGTCAGCAGAACAACAGCAGGAGCAATCAGAGCAACAGCAGCAACATGAACAGCAAGGACAACAATTACCAACAGAAGCACAATCTAATGAGAATAATGCCGTGGACTTGACTCAATCTAATCCAACAACTGAATTAAATTTAGAAGACCCGCAAATCCAACAAGCTATTGCACAAGCAGCAGCGTTAATGGGTGATTATTCTCACCTGCTTGCAAACATTGACGTCGGTAAAATTGCTGCTACGGCCCTTATGAAAAATAACAGCCAAGTGCTTCCTGATCCAGAAACATACAAAAAATTATTAATGACACAAAAAGTACGTCAAGATAACAGAGAAAGAAAGAAAAGATGGAGAGAGCGTAACCAAGAGAGGAACAAGGATAACGATCTTCGTTGCAGAGTCAATAAGAGGGCACAAAAATTATTTGGTAAAGAAGACAGTGAGCATAAGCGAAGATGGATAGAAGAAGAATTCATGAGAAGAAGGGCAAAGAGACTAGATAAAGAGCAACGTAAATCAGCACCCAGAATTCAATCGATTGAGAGTACACCTCCCTCGACTCCATCGACTCCAACCACAGCGCCTTCTACTCCACTGAAATCAGAAGAAATGGCCGCCTTTACAAATCTCTTGACCGATCAAAATTATTTATCCATACTAGCCAATAGTTTGAACTCGTTCACTCAACAAAAGAATCCACTCACAAGCCAACTACTAGGCATTCTTCAGCAACAACAACAGCAGCAGGAAGCAATGTTATCTCAAGAAGAAACAACATCAGATTCACTGAAAGATAAAGAAAATGAAAAATCAGAAATCAAGGCAAATGAGTATCCAATGGAGGTCGTGTTGACATTAATGCAAATGAATGCTGGATGGCGGCAGTAAAATGTCGATCATAAAAGAGGTCATGCGCTAGTCTAATGTTATGTTGTACAGAAATAAAGGCACGCACACACACTCTTTATGGAAATATAGTCTTTTAGTTATTAGTGAGAGAGGAACTAGGACATTTTTTATAATGGAACATATTTTGTTGACATGGATATAAGCACAGGAGACAAATTGATAAAGGGAATAGTCAAAAAGATGAAGATAGAAAAGAGGAGAAGGGCAAATACAATAATTGAATTTTAATGAGTTTGAGAAACAGTGGGATACACTCTCTTTTGTTCAAAATAAAACAGATAATATTAGCGTTTTATCACTTTCTCTCCCTCTCCATTTCCTTTTGTGTATATATAGCAAGTATTTTGTATGCAGTAAAAAGATTTATTAGCGCGAAATAGTGTTCATCTAGGTGGATCGACGGGGACAACAGTGATGCTTACCAAATAAGGTAAGTTGTAAAAAATAGATACATTAAAAAAAAAGTATATTCTCTCTCTCTGTCTTTGTTTCTGTTTCTCTTGCATGCACATACATACTTTTATAGACAGTTAGCTGCACGATTAACATAAAACAAACTATTAAAAGTAGCCAACACATAATCCACATAAAGCATTCATTTTTGGTTTCATTTTTTACTTTAAAATTCTTTAAATTCAATTTCCGGAGTTGTGTCTTCGTCTCTCTTGGCGATAAAAAGTGATACTAATTAGCCTTTTCTTTCTTTCTTCCCTCCTTTCCCCTTCTTTTTTCTTCCCCCTTTTTTTGTTGTCTCTCTCTTTCTTTCTTTCATTCTTTTATTTATTACTTTACTGTATAGTTTCCCTTTTTTTCCCTTTCCGCTCATTTTTTGTTTATTTTTAGTTTCGACAGTATAAATATAGCTCAAGCAAGATGACTCAATCGCCTTTGAATGAGGAAACAAACTCAATAAATGACCAATTATCTACGTCTAGTACTAGTTGTCATACTGAAACTGGTGTGCACAACGAAACTCTATCCAATGACGACGAACAACATACACAACCTTTAACAGCTGAACTATTAGCAGAACAAAACGAGCTAAATAAAGTATTACCGACGCCCAATGCGATTCGAGCTTGGGCTGCTGATTTGCCTGAAGTTCCAGATTCTGTACAACCTGTATTGACTAGCTCACATGTATTTGAAGTCGATATGAACCAAACCAACGCCGGCACGATACATGAGACAAAGGATGTATTCACAGAAACTCAAAAGATAGCCTATATCGGACTTTGTTATCTGACCAGCTTAGAGGTCGTTCATGATTATCAAGGCAAAGAATTTGCAATGGCAAGAATGAGTGCAGATAATTGGCAAAGAAAACTCATGCGGATGCTTTACGCACATATGGATATTTCTGGCGAAGAAATCAAGATGATTGAATCATTATCCAAACATAGCATCTTACCCACCGACCTCGTTCATCAATTCACATCTCAGGGCGACACGGCAGAAGTCAAATTGGATGATTTCGTCAAGAGTAATAATGTAATCGATGACGATAAGGTCATCATTGATCTACGCTGGACAGTAATGTGCGATTTGTTTTTAATCTGCCTTAGTAACGAAAACTATGATGCTCGTTCAAGGGTGTTTGTAGCTCGCATCGCTTCTTACCTGTCTCTCGACTGGTTTCAAGTCATTGGATTTGAAAAAAGAATCGCTGAACATCTTTTGCAGGACGTCTCTTGGGAGACAGAGACGGTCAACAGCGTAGCTACAACCATGACCAGTATGACTATGACCAATGCAGAGGGAGACGGGTCGATCAAGAGTGATGCCGAGCGTTATGGCAGAAACAAGCAACGCAAGAAGAGACGCTATGTCATGGTAGGCCTAGCAACCATTGGTGGTGGCCTTATCTTGGGCCTTAGTGCAGGTCTGATGGCCCCTGTCATCGCTGGTGGATTAGGCGTCATCTTATCTACCGTGGGCGTCACAGGCACAGCAAGTTTTCTTGGTGGTACAGCAGGTATTGCTCTCATCACTGGTGGCGCCACTGTGGCCGGCGGTCGTAAGTTTCAATTATGCTATAATAGCCCATCCGTTAAGTTTTTCGTTCATTGTAGGTCTTGGTGGCAGAAGTATGAGCAGACGTATGAAGTCCATCAATACCTTTGATTTCCTTCCGATACATTCTGAAGACAATGTCAGTTGTATAGTTACCATTAATGGGTATTGATTTAAGCAAAATGACAAAATGACTTTAAATAACACAAACGTATTTTTCCATAGTTGGTTATCAAATAAGGAAAAAGAAGAAGCGTCTTTGCCCTTTAGTACCCTTGACGCCATCATGGGCGACCACTACACACTTTATTGGGAGCCCGAAATGCTAGAGGAACTAGGTAGTGCATTCAAGATCCTTGCCACTGAGGCTGTCACGTTTTCCATTCAACAAGCGCTGGCACACACCATCATGGGTGCTCTCCTATCGGGGCTTGCTTGGCCATTGGCATTAACCAAGATAGGCTATATGGTAGATAACCCTTGGGCGAACGCGCTTGACCGATCCAAGGTAGCTGGCCTAGTCCTTGCGGATGTACTCATGAACCGTAATCTGGGGTCGCGGCCTATTACACTTGTTGGATATTCACTTGGTGCACGTGTTATATTTTACTGTTTATTAGAGCTAGCACGTATGAAAGCATATGGTTTAGTCGAAAACGTCGTTCTCTTTGGCACACCCGTCAGTGCATCCAAGGCACAGTGGAAGGAGTGCACCACAGTTGTATCTGGTCGATTTGTTAATGGCTATGCAACCAATGACTGGTTGCTTGGCTTCCTCTTTCGAACGTCCACCGCTGGCTTAGGTAACATTGCTGGTCTACGCCCACTTTCTCATATTGAAGGAAACCGCGTGCAAAATCTGGATTGCACAGACTTGGTTACAGGTCATTTGAGCTACCGAACGAGCATGCCTAAACTATTGAAACGCGCTGGATTCATGGTATCGTCAGAAGAATTACCAATTCCAAAGGAAAAGTCTACAGGGGGCATCGTTAGCTTTATAAAGCCCAAGAAAGGAAACTTGGAAGGGGAGATACCTGAGGTAAGAGAGAAATAAAACAGCGCTCTTTGATAACTTATGGATATTAGACGGAAACAAAGAACAAGCAAATCGACTCTGTAAAAATGACTACTTCCCTATCATCTCTGTCCTCTGGAAAAGCATCCATACAGATTGCTCCTAAAGCGACATCATCTGAACCTTCAGATTGCGACCGCAACAGTAGTAGTAGTGACCTCATACCCACCCCCTCAACAACATCCACCATACCCAGTATTTCTTCAAACGAAAAGAAGGAAACGACAGACTATGAAATCATAGCAGATATCATTGCAAATGCTACTGCGGCAGCGTCTTCCAAATCTGGTACTTACAGCTCATTATCCTCTGGAAAAGCGTCCATTGCTACGGAGACCACAAAGCAGCACAGACGATCTACCTTGACAAACTTGTTTAGCAGTAATCGACCCAGGTCTAATTCAGCAGCAAAAGCACCCATGACTAGCAACAGCCATCATAAACGACAGTCTACTGGTAGTAGTACCAGTAGCAGTAACAGCCATAGGTCATCCCTCATATTTGGGGCCAGCTTATTTGGCATCAAGAAAAAAGCTGAAGAAGAAGATCCAGCGAAAAGGGAGCTAAGGGATGCTGGTGTTGAAGTGAAAGAAATTAAGAGTACCCTTGGTTGCCTAGTTGTACCCAAGGAAGTCAGTAATCCTATGCCACAAGTAAAACTTGAGCTTCCTCAACATGCTAGATTGAATAGATAATGATTTCCTGTCTCTCTTTTGTGTATATTACCTTTTTTTTTATTGATTGCATTGAATTAAAGCTATCTTGTGTATAATAATGATACACTTTTTTTTTTGTATAATTAATCTTGCGCTCTTGTATTTCCGTAGCTACAACCATCGCTATGTGACACAAGTCTCTTTCTCGCCTTCGGATGTTTAACTCGATGATTTAGAAATGCAAAACTTGCATAAATAAAAAGGCCCCTCAAGATTGATTCAAGCAAAAAGTAAGAACAAAACAGTAGAATACCAACGATTCAATTTTGATTTATTACTGTGAAGATATTTACACATTCACATACGCATTGCCACACATATACATATACGCTTATTAAAAGCCATGGACCTTAATGTCTGTCTTTTTCGCAATGTTTTCTGATACAAGAAATTCTGCAATCTTCAAACGTTGATCACCCGAAAGCTGCAAGATTTGCCCAAGTTCAGGATCTTCCACAATAGTGCCGTTGCAAGCAAACTCTTTCTTGAAGCTCTTTAGAATCTTTTTGGCATCATACTCTTTAGGAAGCCCTTGAAGTGTAGTTAATGTCTTTCTACCGTTTCTCTGTTGTACACGCAAATCTGTGTATGATATATAAGTTATCAATTTAATTTGTCTAGAGTATATTCTTACGGATATTCTTGGCGCCTTGGGCAGCTGGTTTATTATCTTCGTCAACGTCAGCAAAGGGATCTTTAAGTGAATGGTTAGCTTCATTGTTCTTGACTACATCTTGTTTTGTTTCTTACCAAAAGAGACGTTGAGTTCTTCAATGTTGGACATAAACTAATTAAAAAAGATTAAACAAAAAAAAATGAGAGAGAAAGCTATCGAAACTAAAGTTGGGATGACGTAAAAATTTCACTTTCTGTCGGAGTTACGAACTTTTATGACCTGAGTCACAATTTCCAGCCAAAACTTTGGCTCTGTCACTAACTGAGTAACAACAAAATTTAAACCAGCACTTGGTATTATAGGCTGGTTAGCTTGTTGACGTTTAAAATACAAAGGTATTATGAAGTCTGGGTCACATCTGGTTACGAAAGACCATTTATCTTACATCTGAATATGGAATTGACTGCCATATTTGGACGCTCAGTAATGCAACTTAATAGGCCCCACACGCCTTGGTTTATCTTCACTATATAAATGAATATCAAGTTTTTAAAAGAGCATTCGCAGCGATAATCGTATTTTGCTTTTTGATATCACCTTTTAGTCCTGATTTCAAAATGACAAGGTTTGTAAATAACGAAAGCAGAGAGAACACTCCTTAACCTTCGATGAATATTCAACTGAGGCAAAGATTGTAACAAACGTGATAAAATACCAAGATACTGTCTTACAATTAGCTCACAATCGATGGATAGATCAGCTATCTTGATTACAGCAATATCAATAGCACGTTTATCGACCGCTAAATCAGAATATATATCCATCAGTGTCTGTCATATTCTAAGTTTAATAAGGGTCAATAAGCAGTGTTTACACATCAATAACAAAAACTCAGTAACATAAACTGACCAATCATAATAATAAGTGTAACTATCATCTTCATCTTTATTCTTCCAAATAATAGAAACATAAAGAGTCCCATTGTACTTTTTGTCTGTTCCTGCTACAACAACAAACATTACATTATCATTACGAGCTCACGAGAGAATTTAACGATTTTTCAGTCCACTCGCAATAAGAGATCTTTAATGATGGCTGGTGGTAGCTTGTTTAAACGTTCGTCTAATCCCAGATCATTTGTTCGTAGACACAGAAGGGGGATGGATGAGGCCGACAGAACCTGGGACAGGATGCCCCATTGGCAATTGTTTTTTACGCTCATTTGAAACCTGTAAAGCCCTTGGTTTATATTAAAGCTATTGACGAAATATGGCTCGCGACTTGGGACAGTAATATTGCTCGACAGATAGCTCGTTGGTCGAGTTTGTTGAAGCAGAAGCGATTGTTGCTGCTTCAGTTACTTATGTGCTGGTCACCGATATAGGCACATCGGTTCTGCCTGTTACAGCATTCTTCAGGCGCATTTCATTCAAAATTTCTTTACTTCATTCCAATGTCTCATCCACTCATCGTAACCTGCTTGAAGCGCTTTCTTCTTAGCTTCCTCTTTAATCCAATTTTTGACAATGACATTGAAACTTCGGACCAAATGTCTCTGGGAATACTGTAAAAAGAATTACTGAATAATTTGATTTGAAATGGGTACTATTGTGATTTGCTTTGTCTACAGACTCTCTTATACATAAAGAATAGGGAGTTTCTTGGTGCGCTCCTTCGCGCACTACAAAAAAACGTTATTACCATATAATACGATATGCTCAATTTTCATTAGTCGTACTTAATTCATGCGATAATTCTACTTTCATATAAAATTACCCTGCTTCCAATAATGAGTCTTTTTTCTTTCTTCTTGCTCTTAATGAAGGAATTATATAGAGACTCATTGACACATATTCATTTCTTCTTTGTTGTTGAGACTGTTACGAGCCAAGGATGAGTATAGTTTAGCTATTGTTTTGCTTGTGATAAGATTAACCCTTATGTGAATTGGAAAATAGAAGGGGTTCAAATCCTTTAGTGTTTTTGCAAGTAATGACCAATTTCTGTGCAAAGGAAAGAGCGCCCTTTATTTTATTAAAAACAATGCAGTGTTCATGAGATTTCAAATAGTTGATATCCCGCTATGACCACATGTGGTAAGGTGGTATTGATCTTTAACTAAATGTAACGGCGATAACGTATATGTTACATGCAGTAACACTTGCAAACCCTGAGAACAAACAGCTTGAGCAATTGCAAGGCACCTGTCTACACCATATCCTTGGTGAAAGGCTGGATGAGAAAACTTGGACATTCTTTGTTTCTAATACTGCGATCAACATCAAAGCTTATCGGACGGCCGTCCATTTGAATTTTTTGACATATAGTTAATGATGCCCGCCACCCACTCCCTCCAACTTTATGCCTATCCTCTTTGGGCAAACCATTAACCCACTTAAAAATTAGAGCATACAGAACTAAAGAATTGCTGACCTAAATTCACGCAGGTCAGAGATAAAATAAGAATGTCAAGTAACTGCACTGAAAAAAAATTCCTTTTCTTTCTTCTTGAGTCAAACATATACATTTAAAAGCACGCCAAGTGAATACGAAAGTAGTCATTTTGTTAAGGATTAAAGAAGAAAAAGTCAAGTGTGGGAGTAACAAAATGAAGTTTTTATTAAAGTGAGCAATAGTTTGATTTCCAAGTCATTTTAGAAGCAAGGAGAGAGAGAGAGTTTTTGAATAAGTAGAGGTTTTTCTTTTGATAGCCAAGTTTAGAGAGCAAGTAGGGATTTCTTTTTTTTTTTTCCTTTCTTTCCATAAGTCCAGAAGGCCACATTATCACCAGCTTTCAAACCCAAGATGACTAGAACCATAGACTGCATGCCAGAAGACTACACGGTGTAAACCCTCCATGAATAAAAAGTACTCAAGTCTCAAGTCTCAAGACACAAGACCCAAGGCTCAAGACTCAAGACTCAAAAAACAACCACGGGAAACTCAGGAAAGGGGAGCTTCAACGTACGAAGAGTGCACCAAAGTACCTAGGACGAAGCTTTTCGAAAACACTACGGACAGTGCGCGCAGCAAGGACATTGAAACCTTGAAACCTTGAAACATTGAAACATTGGGACATTGGAATGTTGGAACATTGAAAGTATCGAGCTCAGTAGTAGGGAGAATTTACGGGCCATTCATCAGCTGTAGAGGCAGAGCCATAACAATAGGAGCATCTCGGGGTGATCCAGCATAGAGAAGCAGCGACCTACCTGGTTAACTTTTGTTTTGTTTTGTTTTTTTATACTTTTTCCTTTCTTGTAGTAGAGCTTGATAGAGCTTGGCAAATAGTGGCAAAGTAAATTGATTATGTTTCTTATGGCTTCAGGACTTAAATATGTAGTTACTCCAAAGCAGTATTCATTAGCAGCAGACATTGATAGACATGAGCAAGATTCTTTAGGGGCTTTCCGACGTTGATAAGCATGGGACAGGCATTCACTAGCATTTTCAGGCACTGATGATCATTTGTAGGTATTAATAAGCATGAGCAGGCGCTCACTGGTCTTTCTAGAGATTTGATAAGCGTTTGATAAGCGTTTTTAGATATTTGGGCATTTGTTTGAGTGTTTGAGTGTTTGAGTGTTTGAGTATTTGAGTATTTGAGTATTTGAGTGTTTGAGTGTTTGAGTGTTTGAGTGTTTGAGTGTTTGAGTATTTGTTTGATTATTTAGTTATTTGAGTGTATTGATGAGCAGTAGCAAGCATTTTTTGAGCATGAGTAGGCATTTTGAGCATTAGCGAGTAGCAGAGATTTCTTTAAGGCTTCACGCCGTGAGAGGCCATTATGATAGAGTAAAATACATCAGGAACCATGAAATAGAGCCAGCAAAAGTGAATTTTCTAAACGATGGCATTATTTATATGTCCTTTGAGATCACCCCCAAAATGATATTGTACCTTTTTCAACATAGGAAATAATAGAACCATAGGGGAATATTTAGAAGAGATAAAGAATGAAGAAAAAAAAAAAAAAGGACAAGAATGATGGCCTCTTTTATAGCTTTTTGTTTACGTGAATCATATTATTTAGGCTGAAAATAAATGACTCATTTCTCCTTTTTCTCAATTTATCTTTTTCTAGCAATGCATGAACAAATAAATAACTCATTTTCTATCTTATCCATATTAGAGCACATCCGAACGCCTCCTACCCTTTTTTTGCATGATTTTTTCACACCTCCTTTTCTTTTATATGGCCGCTTGTTTACATAAGACTAACCTCACACACATACTTAATTTTTTTTTTATTATGATTGCTTCATTTTTCTTATTTCCAATACGCGGTTTTACTATTTTTCTAGTTGATTTCTTTAAGAATGAGTAAAAAAGTAAAGCGAGCATCAAATGTACAAGGGAAAAGGTTGGAAGAGGGCAGCATCTTTAACAACGCAGCTGGTGATAAACAAAGGGCTTTTCTCAAAGAGCATTAGGCTGACGATGTTGTGGAACATGCGTAGTACTTATCCAAAGGATCTAGTCGTTACCCTTTGTTTGTTTATCATATACCTTTTTGGTGTATGCTGATAAGTAGTACGTCTAAGAAATAAAAAGAGAGAAAGAGAGAGAGAGAGAGAGAGAGAGAGAGAGAGAGAGAGAGAGAGAGGAAGTAAAAGAGGTTGTTCTGTAATAATCATATATAGATCAATGGCTCACTATTTAAAGAAATAGGGAGATTTCATAAAAAATGTTAAAGGATGCCATTATTATTTTTGATGGCAGATTTGTGCATCATATAATTCCCTTTTTCTGGCATTTGCTAAAAAGAATCAAATGCAAACCAGATCGTGACCTTTGCAATCAACATGTATTAAACTTGTTTATCAAACATGAATATAACTGGCTTAGGAAAGCATAAGAGTGTGTAATGCTTTTATTTTTTTTTTTATAGTACACATGAAAAAAAGGGTAAAAGATAAAATGCTTATCCTCTATTCCCCTGCTGTTATATCCTTATCTTTTTCCCTTCTGCTTGTGAAATGTAGACTAGCACTGACGACGATTGTGATTGAGGTAGATCTAATGACTATCCGTTCATTTTTATAGTAAAGCAATGGATCTTCTAAGTCTGCATAAACTATTTCAAATGGCGCTCGAAACAAGATGGGTTGCTAAGGTACGCGGCATACTTTATATAGCCCCCTATTGTCATGGATGCTCGTGTATCATGAATGAGAGGTATTATCAAATATGCAATTGATTGAATGACGAGAAAGGAGTTTTTATAACTATGAAAAAATAATATGAATACATGAATACACAAATACATGAATGCAGGAAAAGGATAGAAATAAGCCTTATATGGAGATAACATAGTAGCAAACTGGTAAAGAATAATGAGAAAAAAAGAAGAGAGAGAGAGAGAGACAAGATTACCCTTAAGACGTGTTTAATGCCTATCACTATTCAAAATTGTGAATAAATATTCATTATTGCAAAACATAATCAAATCGATCTATTTACTCTATTTAAAAGTAAATTCAGGTTAATAAGCACGATAGAGACATGATGTAAATAAGAAAAGAGATTCATTCAAGATTGTGTGCATCAAATTAAAGCAGGGTGGTTTATAAATCTGAAGTATATTTAGTCGAATATAGTATTACCACTTTAAATATAGGGAATCATGAAAGATTGAAAAGACTATATTAAATACAAATGGATTTAACGTATATCTTCTACATGAAGAGCCATAAGACCAAACATTCTAAACGCTTACTGATATACCAAATCAAATATCATTCTTTTGATGTATAATAGATTTATGATTTAATTATCAAGTTTCATTCTTTTTCGATCTTCTAACCTCTTCTTATCAGTCAGTGTAATAAGGGATATCGTCACAATATGGTCTTTCTTATTGTCATTTGTAGTGCGAAAGATGATTGTTTTCATTGCTGATTTTATTACTAACATTGCCATGGGTATTTTACTTGTAAGCACAACATAAATTAAGATAAAATGAAAATCTTATTTCCAACCCCGATTGCCTTTATTTTGTAGTAAGATATGTTACCTGTTTCAATATTTGTCTATTTTTTGACCCATTTGAACAGCTTTTTTTGTATTTATGCTGATTAAAGTGACCTATCCATGCATTTGTGTATTGACCCCAACGTTCTATATTGTTTATCTGATAGCATTTACTCTCATGGTTGACTGGACAGACCGCGTCTTATCAGGTTTATTCCCGTAGATGAGAATCACTGTATGATTTGATTATAGTCATCTTCTTTCTTCCATGAATGTAAACAGTGTGTATACATGTCATATCAGTTGATAGAATAAGGTAGCTCAAGGTGGAGTATTTTACTTGAGATTCCTCTGGCGTTCCGACGAACATTGCGTAACTGTAAGGCGTCTATGTCTGACCTTGGTCTCCGCATTGTGACAATGCATTGTCTTTTGCTGAGATTTATCAATGTGAAGAAAGTTGTTGTTGCTACACTTTTTTCCATGTGTTTCATTAAGATAGGTATGTCTTTATTGTGCTTGCTTTGGAGCGTTGACTATGGTTTTTTTATTTTGCTTTTGAAGTCTAAAGCGAATTCATTGATTAATTCCACCGTGTTCATTGGTAAGTGTGATAGTTTGTTGACTTTGTGTCATGCTCCAAAATTACTTTCATGAATGCGCGGCTTAGAAAGATATGAAGGGGGACATCTTATTGTTCTTTTTTAAAAGCATCGAGTAAAAAATGCAGTTGAGTGAGTATTGACTACATTTGGTGTCGAAATGGAGGCAGCCAAGGTTGAATTAGGTACGACATACAAAAGGGAGCATTCCTTTTTAAAATAACAATTCGAACGATTCTTTCATGTCTGAAAATTCAAAACCATTTGGTTTGTGAGTGGGGAGATTATTTAAAGATGCATCAAGAGAATATATATACAATTTTCACCCAGTTGCAGTAGAGGGACGCTTAAAAACACTGTATAACAACGATGTATACAATCAAAAATCAATGAAAGTACATGAAAGAAAACGAACGCATGTCTAATTGTACTGTTAATTTGCTAATCTTCCGCTCTGTTGTCAAATGCCTCCAAGGCTTTGTTTGTGTTGAATGTAATAATATTCTCCACTTTTAAAGTTTAGTTTGAAAAGTAAAAAGAAAAAAAAAGAGAGAAAGAGAGTCAAAATAAATAACTCGCTCTATTTCTAAACAACAAAAGCGGAGATTGTTGGTAAAGTCTCAATTTGCTCAAAGTGTATACGCTCTGCAGAGTTTAAAGGTGGAGAGGACCCAAACACTTCCTCTTGAAAGAAAGAGTCTAGAAATAAAGCAAACAAACAAAAAAGAAGGTAAAAACGTTGAGCTTTTAATTTCATCTAAAAAAAATTAAACCGTCCAAAGTTCAATTGAACATATTGATGATGTTGTCGCCAATATGAGTATTTTCGCCATTGGGAATAGCAGCAGGGGCAGGAGGAGCAGGAGCTTCAGGCGCTGCTACTTTGACAGCATCAACTTTAGGTTCTTGGCGTTGAGTACCAATTTCAGCATTGACTTTTAAAGAGAGCTTTTCTTGACTGTCTCTCTTTTGGAAAGAGGGAGCAGCATAGATGACAGCAAACAAGGGAAGTAAGGCGACAAGTAATTGAATGAAACGCATAACGATAAAAATAGAGAGACAGAGAATAATAATGTATGATATTTATATAGACATTTTTTATATAGCATTCTTTGACGTTCCCCCCTCTTTTCCTTTGATTCATTCCTTATTGATAATAAACTATCTGCATACCTTATGGAACAACACTGGGCATATTTTCAAATAGAAAACATGTCCTTTAAGAGAACAACACCTTTAAAAGGTGTATTCCGCTACATCGTCCCCTGATTCTCGACTTTAATGGATTTGATTGGCTACATTTTTTACTTTAAGAAATAAAATACTTTTTTCTTTTCATTATGTCAAAATTACCACAAAGAAGTGAAGAAGAAGCAGGTTCGCTTCTTGGAACATATTTACTACAAGGATGGGTAAAATAAAAATAATTAAAAATAATAAGTTATTAACTCTTACTGAAGGTGATGACTGATAAACTTTGCCCTGTGACCGATTGTTCTTATCCTTTGATGAGATCGAAGGATGGATCTATTTCCTTTTGTACATTACATGATCCACTTCCTAACAAACCAACATCAACAACAACAACAACAACAACAAATCAAAAGAAGCCTTTGACAAACAATGAGCCTGTTGCGGATCAACTTGCACTTCAACGACAGAGACGAGAACAGTCTTCAAAAGCATCTCAGTTGATTGGAGAAAAGATGTTGCAGAGATGGACACTCTTGAACGAACACTGCCCAAATGATACATGTTATGCTGTAAATATACTACTTTTATCATGTAATATATGTATACATTAACATTTACAAACTAGATACCCTTAGTTCGTCACCCAGAGACAAAACAAATGTATTGTGTTATATGTGAAAACATCATTGATCCTGAAGGACAACAACAACAAGAAGTCAAAAAGAATGAAAACATAAAACAGCAAAAGAAGGAAGATCAATCGATCAAACAAGAGACAGTTAATAGAACAATAGCTCATAAACGACAAAAGACAACAACATCATCCGTCTTTTCAACCAAATCCATTCTGTCAACACTTGCCGCCAAGATGGATTACTTGAATGAAGAAGTCAAGGAAACTTATGATCCTAGTGAACTTGCTAAATTGTTTGATTCAATCAAGTCATGCGCTCAAGCTATAGAAGCCTGTGTCGAAGCCGGAAAAGTTTATGACAAGACCCTGGGGAGGGATTAAGACAGTAACACAAGGATGTAAAAATAAATTTATTATTTCCCTTTTTCTCCATGTCTTTTTCTTTTTTTATTATATAAACATGCAACGTTTATTACCAAAGGCATCACTTAGACGTTCTATATGCTTCTCTTGTTATTATAGGCAAACAAACAAGATAAACAACAAAAGAGCTTTCCATAGCAGTCATCCAACTCATGTTCCCCTGGTACCTTTTCCTGCTTTTCTCCTTGGCGCATTCAAGACTGGCAAATTAGTCAGTGTCATTTCCTTATCGTCCAAGACATCACTTACATTATTACCACATACCTTTCGTCGAGGAAAAGGAAGCAAGCTACAGCTAGTGGCCAAAATCTTGGCAGGAATACCCTTATTTGGAGTTGGACTATTGTTTGCTGTTGGTTTGGACCAAGCCCCAAATACGTCAAGGTTAAGGCTGATTTATCTAAGTGAAGAAGAAGAAGAAGATATTGTAAAGGATGAGATCAATACGCTGCTAGATGCACAACGAGGACTTGTTGCCCCTAGAGATAGCGAAGCGGTCATTTGGCTACAGACCATAGTAGATAACCTCGCAGCTGTGGCTGTGGATGATATTCGTGACCCTGTGCGACAATATTCTATCCAAAAGAAGGAAACGGTTAATGACAGTGACAGCACAAAAGTATTAGTCGTGCCTTCGAACGATATAGAAACGATCGTGAGTTCAACAGCAGATGAGCTTCGAGCAAGCATACCAAAACGAAACTTTGAAGTAGACTTCATCTGTGACTCGACTACGGTCAATGCGATGTGCGTTGGGTCACATATTGTTGTATATGATCTATTGGCACAGTATATGGAATATGACTCAAGTAGAATGGCAGTCATACTCTCTCATGAAATAGCACATTCGATACAAAGACATTTTGTAGAACAGCATGGATTTGCAGCACTCATGTTTATGTTGGGTGATATCACTAGGGGTGTCTTTTGGATGGTAACTGAATCACTTGGACCGTAAGTGGAATATTTATATTTTACAAAGAGAGGTCGATTAACAACTGATCATAGATATGTCAATCAGAAAATAAACGATTATATTTCAATGTTCATCACCTTGGAAACACAGACTACATACAATAGAAGATTAGAAAAGGAGGCAGATCTAATTGGATTGATGATACTGGCCAAAGCAGGATATGACCCTAGAGTAGCAGTTGAAGTATGGGAAAGGATGGCAGAATTAGAAAATTATATAGACGATGAAACTGAACAAGTAGTAGCCAGTTCTCAAAATAAGGCAATCGACACAGTTGAAGAATTACAACAAGTGAACATTGTCGAATTCTTTACAACATTGATCAGTAACTGGTTTGGATCAAGTCATCCACCCAGCGAAGAAAGAATAGAGTACATGAAAGAACACTTGGATGAAGCAATCAAGGTCTATGAACAATCGATTCAATTGAATGGATATCCAAAAGAGTATATATTTCAAATAGATGACGTTGGAAATAACAATAGCTTGTTTACAAATGTTAAAAATTGGTTATCAAGTATAATCATCACAGTCAAGTGACCATGGTAACACCTTGACACAATAAAAACAAGTTTCCTATTTCTTTATTGTTATTTTTCTTTTTCCTTTTTGTAATTACCCTCTTTTACACAAACAAAAACATGTCAGATTATGAATACTTGACTACAGAAGATACTCAACAATTACTAGAGAGACTGAATGATTGGAGAAAAGGAATATGCCCAAATGGACTGTTGGCTACTGAACGATGCTTTGTTTTGAAGAAAATGCCAAAAATTAGAAAGATAATAAACAATCTAGATGATGTAACAACTGAAATCGTATCTGAATCCATCTGGATAGATCATCTTATCAAATCTAGTGCTATCACCACAATGAACGATGACAGTCTCATCCAATCTTTATCCCAACTTTACGTCTTGTTTCATTCAGCAAACACGCTCAAAACACAGACAATACTCCATTCTATTCAACTAGACAAATATGCTGTGTTTAATGTGGATGATATTCTAAGACCTACTGAATCGCTTGAGACTGCAATTCGAGGCATATTTCATCAATCAGATACAAGCATAAGATGGGCCTTATTATTATCCTTATGGGATAAGTTTGGTTATTTTTGGCCAAGAAAGATTATACTAGGTAATATCAACGTAGCCTATCTCTCTCTCTCTCTTCTTTACTAATACGCGTATTAGGTTACAAAAATCATCTTTGCCAATCATTTAGAAACACAAACGACTTTTATCACGTATTGAATTCACTCAAGGATCAGCAACTAAAGGCAGCCAAAGTACACCGAGCGTTATCATTAGATGATTGCACAATAATTGCCAGATTAGATCTGACACCTCTGCATGATTTTTTCCCTGAACCTTACAAATCAATGATCAATGAGATGATCCAATCCAAATATATCCAAATTAGCGTAAGTCAGTCTATCAAGCTATACAACATCGCAACCAATAGCTATCTATGTTGGGATTATACACCATCGAAACATAGCGATCCGTATCTGGTGCGCGCCATACCTGCAGACCATCTAAAGGATGTCAACCAAAAACACTACCTCTGGAAACTATCTTATACACCCACATCTGTCGCTTCTATTCCCTTACGTGGATCAACTAAAGTATACATTCAACCGGCTCATCAGCTGCCTCAACAGGTTACTCTTTCCTGCAAGCCCGCTGAATATGATGCAATGACCCCTCAGCAATTACATTTTTCTCGTATTAAAGCGCTACGGCTATTACCTATGGATCATATTACTTATCAGTATGAACAGTTAACATGGTTATTAGACTACCCAAACAACCATTTGAAATACATCACTGACTATCAACTTAATGTCAAGCTAAACATCAATGAGCATATCAAGAGAGTAAAACCATTGCTCGAAGGAGATACCATTCAGCTACAGCAAATTGGTCTATTGACTGCATTTTATCCTATAGAAAAGCCTGTAGATTTGGCGAGTGATAAAGTGCCCAAGCTCAGCACAAAAAAGTCTAGAAACAACGTTTTATGTATTGATGAAGATATTATTAGAGAAAGATATGCAAAGAATACAATATGGAAAATGCAACTTGCAACAGCATCATCTTCCACTATTAATATGCAATTGAGCAACTTGAAAGTGATTAAGCGTGAATATCTAATCCCAGGTATTATATATTTTCTTTTTTTTATAGAAATAATAAGCAATGTATTTAAAACCAAAAGTGCAGATAATATAGGCTCTCGTACCTCGTTCTATACTGATTCACAATCAATAAGGACACCAACAAGAGGAGGATTACTTAGGAGAACTCAGTCCTTTAGCTCGTTCGATTCTGTATCAAGTTCTCTCAGGACATCTAGCCATTACACAGACAAAGCTCCTTATTTCGAAAACTTGGTTACATCCAAACTTACGACCAAACTGGTGTCTCAGTTTATGAGAAAGGTAACGTTAGAGCCCATTGCTCAGCTAGTCAAACCACATCGTGCAAAGGATAAACGCGTATCTCCTTTTTGATATTTATAAAATGTTTATTATCATCACTCTTCGTCTTCCTCATCATTTTCTCTGAAACGTGGATTTTCTTTTTGACGTTTACGTGACTCGTCTTCATTCTCGTCATCATCCATTCTACGCTTACTGTTTGCTTGTGCATTTGTACTTCTACTCTTGTATTCATCAGCACCCTTTGGAATTTCCTTAATAGCCTCATAGTTCTCCTTTATGTTCTTCTCACGGTTGCGTTCAAGTTCCATTCTCATACGATGACCCCAACCACCACGGCCTGCATCATATTCTGTACGATATTCGTCACGAACCTGTCCACCACTTTTACCTCTTCCAAACTGTCTTCCTTCTCTAAAACCAGGATCCAAATCGCATCGAATAATACGTTCGTCTAGTTTTGTTCCGTTAATATACTTCATGCAGTCAAGTGCATCTGTTCGATGATAGTATCTAATAACGCGTGCATTGGTATTATTTTTTTTAAAAAAAAAAAAAAAAATCTTACTCTACAAAACAAAATCCACATGGTGTCTTTTGATGACGATCAAGACCCATAATGATACGCTTGATTTCACCACATTTACTAAATAGTTCGTATATTTGCTCTTCTGTTGTAAAAAAGGACAAATTGCCTACATAAAGTGTCGCGGTAGTAGAGAGATCATCTGTAAGTTGATTTGAAGAGCCCTTTTGTTGAATGATGAATATAAACACCTGTATTTATATACATTTGTTTTCAATCTACCTGATATAATTGATCACGATAGCTAGAAGGAACTGCTAATGAATTTATTATAGTGGTCATAACAGAGAAAAGAAAAAGAAAAAAGCGAAAAAATAAACTGTCACTGCTGTCAGTGTTTATTTAATCAACTGTTTCGGTACCATTCTGTGTTGTATTATTTGTTGTAGGGAAAGGGTTCTCTTTACGTGAGCTATCTAATAGCTTATCAATACCCTTTTCTTTCAAAGTGATCTATACATTCTGTACTTTAGTTCTCATGTTTAATTGCTCCTTTAAGCTGTTACCATAACGCATGCTTTGTAATCCTTAAATAGATCTTCACATTCGGGAGTTGTGTCTCCTTTTAGAAATTTTTCAGAGTACCAGCGATTGAAACAATTGTCATATTTTTGCTTAAGTTCAGTACAGTTGACACCAACACTCGAAGACATGTTTTTATTAAACCAGGGAATAAAAAAGAAATGGTTCAAAGCAAGTCGCTTTTTTATATTTATTTACTCAGCTGAGGGGAAAAGCCCTCTTTTTTTTTGGGATAAATACTCTATTCTTTGCTCTTGAACTACCAACCATAGTGTTATACTACAGAATGATAGACTCAGTTTAATGGGATATATATAGAAAGAATAGTTCATGATTACAATAATAAAATGATTGCAACCTATACCTAGGCCATGCTCTTTATACATGAATCAGTGGATTACCTGTTGTATTCCGATTGTTTTTTGGCAACAGATCTGCGGTTGCTGAAAGCACCTTATTTTTGAGGGATACCTCTGCCAGCTTTATGCATCTTTTGCAGTACAATTAACACAATATCCTCATCAAGACATTCTATCGCCCACTTTCCAGAACTTCTATATGTTGCATAGCCAAGCACTAGTTGAGTTTTTGATATAAATGCCATGTGGTAGAAGAATTCACAGGCCTATCATCAAAAATAGCAAGTATTCTCCGTTTTTTTTAAAAGCTTAAAAGCAAACATAAATATCGAGGCAAGAAAGTGGCAATTTCTTGTTTTATCATTTATGAAATTGAAAGAAAGAGAGCATGAAACTAAATGGTGCAAAGAGGTAAAGCAAAATACTTAAATGCGTCGTAGAAATGTAGCACCTCTACCGGACATTTTCAAACACAGCAAAAAACACAGTAACAATATCGAACAGACAAAGACGACATAATAATCCGGTCCGGAAAATTTTGATCCTATAGATCATAAGATTTAACCAGTCAACAAGCCCGGTTAGCTCAGTTGGAAGAGCGTCAGACTTTTAATCTGAATGTCGGGGGTTCGAGCCCCCCATCGGGCGATTATTAGTTATCCGCAGTTCAACACTAGAACTTCGTCTGATTTATTTTTATCCCGCCCGAGTCGGAGTTTATATTAATACCCTTTTTGGTATTGTAATGCAAAAGATGCCGAAAAGGAAAGTCAACAAAAATAAAAAAAAAGTATTGATACCATTTTTGGTATCTGCTACCAGTACCATTACCACTGCATGTATATGCAAGTTTTAATCATTTTTATTATTTATTATAATTATCATTTATCATT